CACCTGGGTGTCTACATCTCTACCTGTACACACACCTGGGTGTCTATATCTCTACCTGTACAGACACCTGGGTGTCTACATCTCTACCTGTACACACACCTGGGTGTCTACATCTCTACCTGTACACACACCTGGGTGTCTACATCTCTACCTGTACACACACCTGGGTGTCTACATCTCTACCTGTACACACACCTGAGTGTCTACATCTCTACCTGTACACACACCTGGGTGTCTACATCTCTAGCTGTACACACACCTGGGTGTCTACATCTCTACCTGTACACACACCTGGTGACTACATCTCTACCTGTACACACACCTGGGTGACTACATCTCTAACTGTACACACACCTGGGTGTCTACATCACTACCTGTACACACACCTGGGTGACTACATCTCTACCTGTACACACACCTGGGTGTCTACATCTCTAGCTGTACACACACCTGGGTGTCTACATCTCTACCTGTACACACACCTGGGTGACTACATCTCTACCTGTACACACACCTGTGTGACTATAGCTCTACCTGTACACACATCTGGGTGACTACATCTCTACCTGTACACACACCTGGGTGACTACATCTCTACCTGTACACACACCTGGGTGTCTACATCTCTAGCTGTACACACACCTGGGTGACTACATCTCTACCTGTACACACACCTGGGTGTCTACATCTCTAGCTGTACACACACCTGGGTGACTACATCTCTACCTGTACACACACCTGGGTGTCTACATCTCTACCTGTACACACACCTGGGTGTCTACATGTCTAGCTGTACACACACCTGGGTGACTACATCTCTAGCTGTACACACACCTGGGTGACTATAGCTCAAGCTGTACACACACATGAGTGTCTACATCTCTACCTGTACACACACCTGGGTGACTACATCTCTACCTGTACACACATCTGGGTGTCTACATCTTTACCTGTACACACACCTGGGTGACGACATCTCTAGCTGTACACACACCTGAGTGTCTACATCTCTACCTGTACACACACCTGGGTGTCTACATCTCTACCTGTACACACACCTGTGTGACTACATCTCTACCTGTACACACACCTGGGTGACTACATCTCTACCTGTACACACGCCTGAGTGTCTACATCTCTACCTGTACACACACCTGGGTGACTACATCTCTACCTGTACACACACCTGGGTGACTACATCTCTACCTGTACACACACCTGGGTGTCTACATCTCTAGCTGTACACACACCTGGGTGACTATAGCTCAAGCTGTACACACACCTGGGTGACTACATCTCTACCTGTACACACACCTGGGTGACTATAGCTCTAGCTGTACACACGCGACACGTCGCAAGAGTCCCGCGATGCTGGACAAGACCGACGGTGCAATGGTAGCCAAAGGAAGGAATGCGCTCGAGTGGACATCCCGCACGGAGATGGAGCGGATGAAATCAACTCGCGTTGCAGGCGCTTAAGACGGATTGCTCCATCATCGCAGGCCCGTGCGAGATGGTGAAGACGTGTGTGTGTGATCGTGGCTGTTGACTATTCCGAAACTCGACCTTATTTCTCGAATGAACTCCCCATCCATTGTCTGGTGATGACGATCGTGATGATGGCAGTGCCGTGGTGGGGGTGACTTGCCACTGTCGCGGGAAGGTGGAATGTCAACTGCAGCCTCCCAATGGTTAACGCTCATCATTAAGGACCCAATTATAGCTAACGACGCCTGCCTATTACAAAGTAGAGTTTCTTGTCTTGACAGGTATACGTGCACTGTAATGTCAGCGTACGTACGTGCAGGTGTTCACTTACTTTTGTTGAGAACTTGAAACTCCTTGCCCCGAGCTCATGAACGCCTCCGAACAAGAAGACAACGTAACAGCTTCAGAGAGCTCGCGAAAGGGCCATATAGTTGTTTTTTAAAAGTTTAAATGGAACACGGCTAAACTTAAAAAAAAACACACACACACAACGCCAGTTTCAAAGATAACGATGAACGTGGTTGTTGTTGTCGATTCTCGCCGTCGTTGTTGCTGCTGCTACTGCGTGTCAAGGAAGAACTGCGTGAGAGAGAGAGAGCGCCTGCATCACCTGTGACCTGCACCACACCTGGGCAACGTGACGAGCCAGAGGGGAGCGACAGCCCCACGGCGGTGACGTCACCACTCGGAGCTTGCACCACAGACAAAGATGCCCCGTGTAGCCCCTAACAGACCATTGGGGCAAGTGCTGTTAGCGATCAGCAGCAGCAGCACCTTTGGAGGCCGGCACGAGGGGGTGGGTGGCCAGCACCACGCCCGGCCGCCTTTGTCTCCCTCGGTGGCGACATTCACGCACCGCACCAAGACCTCATTTGAGGCTGAGTCGACCTAGGGGAAGGACACATGGACAGGTTCGAATGATCGTCACTGGTGTTGGTTGCGCAGCGCTCGGACCTGCACCAATACCAACACAGACGTCATTCGCCACTCAGTGACGGTGACCACGGCGCCTGTGCCAGGCCAGGTGCACTTTGAGGCCACGTGAAGTGTCGAAGGCTCTCTGCTGACAGGAGGACTCGGGACAGACTCAGCAGGTGCCATGGGGTTGACTGACTGAGATGACCGGTAGATGCACCAGCTGTGCCAACTTGCTGCGTTTTATCCGCCCGGCGCTCCGCTCGTTGTTGTGAGCGTCGCTCCTCCGCCCTCCGTTGTTGCTGGAGGGCGACTGCCTCCAACTGCCCAGTAGCGTCCTTCACGAGCCTCCTCCACAGAGGCCGATCTTGACACCACTGGTACCGGTCATCGGCAAGTCCACTCAGCTCCACATCCTCCTGTACCACATCACTCCATCTCTTCTCTAGCCCGTTTAGCCCCCTCTATGCGGTCAAACAAAAGCTGTCTAGGCATGCGGTGGCTGGACATGCGGGCTACCTGGCCCAGCCAACGCAGCCTTGCCTGCCGGAGGAGCTCACTGATGGGACTGTGTCCAGATCTTTCAAGGATTTGTACCACATCACTCCATCTCTTCTCTAGCCCGTTTAGCCCCCTCTATGTGGTCAACCAAAAGCTAGACTTGAAGCTTTCGTGACTGCAAGGAATCATATTCTTAGGTGTTTTCGGTAAAGTCACGTAGGTAAAACATCAAAATTAATAAAAATAATAAAATAAAATAACATAAAGATCACGACGTTTCGGAGGCCTCCGAAAAGTCGTGATCTTTATGTTATTTTATTATTTTATTATTTTTAATTAATTTTGATGTTTTACCTACGTGACTTTACCGAAAACACCTAAGAATACAAACAAAAGCTGTTTAGGCATGCGGTGGCTGGACATGCGGGCTACCTGGCCCAGCCAACGCAGCCTTGCCTGCCGGAGGATCTCACTGATGGGACTTTGTCCAGATCTTTCAAGGATTTGTGAGCTCCGCACACAATTATCCAGCCTGGTTAACCCCAGGATGGATCGTGGGCATGGCAGCCTCAATGTTTCCAACCGGCGCAGATGTTCCATTAGAGGGGGTCCACAAGGTGAGACGTAGACCTGCACCAATACCATCACAGGCATGTCCCCCCCATCCTATGGCAACGATAGCTGTTGCTACGTTTGATTCTTTATTTATGTAAAACAGAAAACAGGACAACTTATTTAAGGAAGAAATGTAATACAAAACGTAACAGGTTTAATTCTTGAAAATAATATAACGCTGTTGATCATTAAGGACACGTTAATTCAGGTCATGTATCTTCTTGGTTCTTTCGGTAAAGTCACGTAGAAGGGAAGTAATAAAATAATAAAAATAAAACATAATAAAACAAGTGAGAATTGTTTTATTATGTTTTATGTTTTATTTTTATTATTTTATAACTTCCCTTCTACGTGACTTTACCGAAAGAACCAAGAAGATGAATCCCTGCAGTCACGAAAGCTTTAAATCGAAATTCAGGTCATGTAATGTTATATTTTTTTGAACACTAGATACTAAAAATCAAACATTGCAACGAATATCATGCCACCCCATCCATACCAATCCGGCACCTATTCAATTACCCTTGTCCGGATTACACGTAAACTATTCCATTGGATTACATGTAACCCATTCTATTGGATTGCATGTAAACTATTGACTACTTCTCAATACAGGATTACTAGTGATGACTGCATTCGATTGTCATTATTGGATTACAGTACTTGCAAAGATTGTCATTATTGCATTCGATTACTTCTACAGGTTGAATTACTGATCACGATTCGATAAAAATTCATGTCACGAGTTCGATTACTTAATTCGGATGTTGGAATGCTTTAATGATTACAGCCAGCCATTAGAAACCGCTACTCTCACTAGCTCATCGGATTCCTCCAGCATCAATAAATATTCACATTCTGACAATGTATACAACATAATCATATAGTTTGATCTAATCGACGACATCGATAACAATCGATTACGACAGCACGATTCAATATCAGTAAAGATAGCCTACGAATCGATAGTAATTTAACTAATCGTGGAATCGATGCAGGCAGCCAAGGTTACGTGATGACGTCATGACGTAAACTACGATCGCTGACGTCTTTACGCTCGCACGTTCGTGACGTCATGCCGTAACTGACCGGCAATGACGTCATCGCGCTCGCACATCCGCTCGTGGTGCCAACCATGACGTAGAAGCGTGATTACGCAATCTTATAACCGTGATTTTGACGTCATCACGCTGATGCGTGATGACGTTTGTCGAAAAGGATAGCAGCCCAACGTCATCACGCTCGCACGTTCCCGTAATGTTCACGCAATTGACGTACGTTGCGTCATTGCGTCATCACGGAATGGGCGGTAACCGACGTCATCACGCTCGACCATCCGCTTCCAGAGCTTCCAAATCCGTGCAACTGTACTGTACCGTGATGATGTCATACCGTACCGGTAACAGTGACGTCATCGCGCGCGTGCTCACGTGACGTCATGACGCACGCCGGATATTACGTCATCACAACACATGGGACATTTGGACAACGTTGGACGGTGCCACTCTCAGTGCCGCGTATTTTTGAAATAAATTTTTACTAAAGCGACTTCGTTAACCGGTGGTTGTGTTTTGCATTGGGAGGGGTTTTTTTTCTCCTCCTTCTAATCGGTATTCGCAGCGCAGTTGTCACGTCGCACGATCGTAAAAGATTGCGACGGCTTGGTGGTTGAGGCCCTTCAATCTTAATTTTGGAGCTTTCGTGACTGCAGGAATTATTCTTTGGTTCTTTCGGTAAAGTCACGTATAAAGATAAAATAATAAATTAGATAATAGCATAATACGGACGTTTCGTTTGCAGGTTGAGGGGCCTTCTTCATCCAGCAGTGAGATTGGCTCCATGCCCGGCGGTGATTACGATTTGTGCTGCGTTGTGTAACGCAGATAGACGAACGCTGCGTAAACGTGTCTCGTTTACATTCGCAAGAGTTTTACTTCATGCAAAGGACATTTGATCAAACGTCTTGAATGCGGCGTGGCTTTCCGGGTTAAATCTGTGAAGTAAATGACATTTGGCTATTCTGGCCAACTGCACAGTGTGCTGCCTCCACCATTGCAGATCATTGGTCTGCTCGCTCCCCGGCTAGCCATTGATTAAAGTGTCACAATGCAGCGCTGTCAGAATCAGAATCGATACCTAAGGCTAGGAAGCAGACCGGTGTGACCGTCTGCACCAAAATCAGCATTGATTATTTTGTTATTAAATAAACTAGGTGACGTTCAACAGTTGCATAACTTTAGGGTGGAGACGATACCTTTGGTTGAGCCACGATTTGTGGACCATTACTCCCGAGAATTGGGGAGGAGGAGGATTTCCATCACAAGTCCCCATGGAACGAGGCACAGAACGGGTCGTGGCCCTGGTGGACATGGACTGCTTCTATGTCCAGGTGGAGCAGAAGTTTAACCCGCAGCTCAAGGGCAAGCCGTGCGTGGTGGTGCAATACAAGGGCTGGCGGGGAGGAGGGTGAGTGGCTATGATTTATTTGTTTTCTTTTACCGAAAAAACCAAAGAGTATGGCTATGAGATGTTTACTCCCTCGCCTGGTATGCAGGAGGTCGTGGGTTCGAGCCCGACCCTGACGCCTGCTGCTGTATATTTGAAGTTTGCTGTGTCTCTCTCCACGTGGTCGTGTGGATTTTTCTCCGGTTCCTCCGTATTTTTAAATCCTTTATTAAGTTCACTTGCTTGCTTGCGCTTACGACCGTGCAAATCATTCGGTCGTTTTTTAACCCACTTCCCGTGATCCAATCGAGCTGACATTTTGCACACAGACTCGTTGTGCGTGACAATTTATTTCCAAAATTTTACACTTTTTAGGAAAAAATAAATTATATTTAATTACCAATAGCTTAATGGTGTCAGGCAATCATCTGACCCATAGGTGGCAGCCATCTCAAGCCAGAGGACGAGAGGACTCTAGCCGCCACGCATATAAAGGATTTATAGTGAAAAACTTTGTTTTTATGGGTTAATTTTTTCACTCCACATTTGGAATGAACGCACGTTTCGAGTATTTGACCGATTTTAAAATCCCATGTGATGATAATAAGCCAGCTTCGTTGCGCTATCATTTGTGGTGAGGTCGCTTCTGAAAAAAAAAGGTTTGTAGCTCATTGGGCCTTCGTAAAATAACACAAATAGTTTCTAGTTGAGTTTGCTACATTCCTGAGTAACCCCTTGTCACTAACCCGCACCCACCAGCGTGGTAAAGTTTAGTAGTTTACATGTGAACGCATTTACGTGGCCGTCTGTGGGGAGAAGATACAAGACACAACGCCTAAGATCCAGCACTATAGGCACGGGTCAGTGGATCACGTAGAGATTTGTAAAAGTTTCCACTCTCACTGGGCTGTGTTGAGGTAGGCTAGATGGTAATACAGCAGGTGGGTTTGTAAACTGTGCGAACCTTTGGTTTAATGTTCTAAGGGTGAGCGGTGAATTATTCTCGAAACACGAGAAAAAACTAATTGCTGGGGAAATTGGCCACCAAACACCCAAATGCAGCAGGACCCTGCTGAAATTGTCTTGAGACTCTCAAGCTTTGAGAAAATGTTATTCCCTGACTATTATTGTCCTTGTCTGCTCCCCCAACCCCGGCCCCCCCTCTTCCTTGGGGGTGCAGCATCATCGCGGTGAGCTACGAGGCGCGCGCCTACGGGGTGAGCCGCAACATGCGCGGAGACGAGGCGCGGAAGCTCTGCCCCGAGCTCCTTCTCGCCCGTGTCCCCGAAGCGCACGGCAAGGCCGACCTCACCAGGTGAGCGCACCGTCGCGTAGCCCACAGCCGTGACACGTAGCCCGCAGCCGTGACGCGTAGCCCGCAGCCGTGACGCGTAGCCGACAGCCGTGACGCGTAGCCGACAGCCGTGACGCGTAGCCGAAGGACGATCGCATTTGCTTTGCAGGGGTTCGCAGTTCGAGGCCAGCGGCCGTCCTGGTTAATACTGCGGGTGTATTCGCAAACATATACAACGCTCCCTGCCCCCCCCCCTCTCGGTCTGCTTCACAGCGGAGTTTAAAGATCTCGTGGCGTCGGTTGCAATTGTAGGCCATGTGTGCTGGCATTAAGGTCAATGTTTTTAAACTACCGTACTCGCAAAATCACTTGATATGGTAAAAACGCACAGCAACATATCCCCCTACTGGTTCACTACACTCATCTGTGAACCGTGTGTTCATCATAGCCTTGCGCTGTAAGAATGGCACAAATACCAAATGTAATTACATTTCATATTCTTAGGTTTTTTCCGGTAAAGTCACGTAGGTGTTTTACCTACGTGACTTTACCGGAAAAAACCTAAGAATATGAATCATTGCAGTCACGAAAGCTTCAAATCTAGAATTTCAATAACACTTGTAATTATTATAATAGAGAGTGAACTATTCACCGGCCACTCTGGTGTCGTTTGGCAGGTACCGGGAGGCGAGCGTGCAGGTGCTCGACGTCATGGCACGCTTCGCTATTGTGGAGCGCGCCAGCATCGACGAGGCCTACATGGACCTGACGGGCGCCTTGGCGTCGCGCATCAGTGCCTTGCACGGCCGCCCCCTGGTCCCCGACGACCTCCCCGGGACCCACGTGGAGGGGTGGCCCCGTGACAGGGCGGTAGACGCGGCCGGGGAGGGAGACCCGGCCGGGGTGGGCGGAGTAGAGATCGACAAAGGTGCGCCGTTTACTGTTACAACACAAATGCAACTGCGCCTATGACCAAGTCACCCATAATGCACCAGGTCACATCATATCTTGGAAACCAAGCAGGGTTGAGATTGTACCGTGTTTGGAAAGGCGACCACCGTGCATAACAGGTTGTTGTTATACGCTGCTGCTGCTGCTTGTTGGGCTACGATGTGGGTGGCAGACGGCAGTGCTGCAAAATCAATTTTTATTGTCATCGTAAGAAATCACAGTGAAATGTAAGCATGCACAAAGTGATCACGTGCGCAATTTTTGCCATAAAACGATGACGTGGCCAAAGCAAAACAAATACATTTTAAGTTAATTTGGAGGTGAGTTTAGTGATTTTTTTTTTCTATGTTCACACGAGTCCATTTTCTTTGCGTCACCAGAAACGCGGCGAGTCCGTGGGTTGGCGGAGTGGCTGTCCTCGCTGGGGGCGGAAGAGGACGGAGAGGGGGGCGCCGCCGCCACTAACGGGGAGCTGCGACTGGCCATGGGGGCCGTGCTGGTCGCTGAGATGAGGGCGGCCGTGGAGGCCGAGACTGGGTTCCAGTGCTCGGCCGGTATCGCCCACAACAAGGCGAGAAAACTAACGCGCAGTGTCACATCACGCAATAGTATAAAGTCCTTTTAATTGTGACCCATTTTATTCCACAGTCTCTTTACTGATCCGTGAAAACTTCGATAATTCGACTGGTCAATTCAATGACACAAAAGTGGTCGTGGTAGCCGCTAAATTCGTATTGTCGATTAATTTTCGCAGATAACAGGAGTCCTGTAAAGAATCTTACAATCTGCATTCATCTGAATACTTTAAAGATAGGGGAGTTATCTTTTTTGAATAATATGATAACTCCTTCCTTTTATCTGCAAATTTGCTGATACAGGAATGGTAGCCTCCACTTGGACACAGTTCAGAGGAATCCCACTGTAATTGCACCGCCACGAAATGGACTGTGTTCGTCACCGCAGTGGCAGTAACGGTTATAGCTTTCTAGATTTGAAGCTTTCGTGACTGCAAGGATTCATATTCTTAGGTTTTTTCGGTAAAGTCACGTAGGTAAAAAAATTAAATTAATAAAAGTAAAATAAAAATAAAATAAAAATCACGACATTTCGGAGGCAACACAAGCTTCCGTCTTCAGATGGAACCGTCACAGCACGATAGCTATATCAAGTGAGTTATAGCTTTCTGGTTACGGTATTTGCTCTCGCGCGTGGCCGGTAACGCGTTGCAGTCTTCTCTCCCTGCATCGGTGCAGACGCTGGCCAAGCTGGCGTGCGGCATGAACAAGCCCAACAAGCAGACGGTGCTGTCACCGTCTTCCATCCCAAAGCTCTTCGCGACGCTGCCGATCGGCAAGATGTGAGTGCAGATCAGCCTCCTTGTGCAATCACACGAGTCTGTAGGCCCCTGTGTGAGGATGTGTGTCTTACATTTTATTTTTCAATCTTATTTTTTACGTGGGTTTGAGCGATGATGCAATGGTCAGCACACTGCACTACGAGCCCAGTTACCTGATTTTGATTCCTTTGCCACGGCAAACATCAGCGGTGGGTGATGTCTAAACTGGTCCTGGCCCATCCCCAATCCCATGTCAACAAACCCTCAAAACAATCTCCATACTGAGCAAACCATCGTTTGGCCATACGTCCGACAATTCGCTGCCACGTGCTGGAAGCTTTTTCAGTTCTTGCAGTTGTTGAATATCCCAGCAGGTAGAGTTAAAGTTCCTCCATCCTCCCACACAGCACGTGGTATCACCTGCAAACACATCGGAGCTACACAGTAGCACAATCACGAAAACCTACGCGATTGTAGCTTCCCTAGTCGTAACCCCCTGTGTAACAACCTCATGTGTATTCTGTGACGCCCCCCCGCCCCCACCACCGAGGTGTATTTCCGTGTGCGATGCCCGCGAGCTGTCTTTGTTGCGCGTGTGCGTGGACCCACTCGGCTGCTCAGACGTCACTTGGGGGGGAAGCTCGGGAGCTCGGTGGCCGAGACGCTGGGCGTGGAGACGATGGGGCAGCTCGTGGAATTCACAGAGGGCACCCTTCAGGCGCGCTTCGGCGAGAAAACCGGGTAAATTTTGATTTACACCTGACGATGATTGCTTGTGTTGCAGTCGAAACGTCGTGAGAATTTGTATTGTTTTATATCTATATTATTTTATTATTTCCCTTCTACGTGACTTTACGGAAAGAACCAAGAATATGAAAACCGGGTAACTTAACTTAAAACAACGGAGTGGCCGTCGCAACGCAAACCTACCTTCGCGTGGCTACGCAGGGGTGGAAAACCGATGGCCTCACCGGCTGGATGCGACTGTGCAAATGAATGTGGTACGGCCCGTGGCCACACGAGAGATACAACACCGAAACTGCCCTGCAAGCATCTATTCCGCACTAATTGGGTACGAGGAGGAGAGTACAGCATACTCTCTCGTTATTCGGGAGGGATATGTTCTCGAGATGTTCGTGAATTGAACATTTCGCGGATAATCGTATTGGCCTATGAATATTGTACGCGTAAAACCTGCAGATGCTTCTAAAGCTTCGAAATTTCTCTCGTTACTTTGTAATTTTCTCGCATCACATTCTCTCTCATCACTTTATCTAATGACTTTCTCGCATCACATTCTCTTTCATCACTTCATCTCATCAGTTTGTTTCCGTCTCTTTCGATACAGTTGTGTAGAACTCCATATCCGATTCGTGGATAGCCAATATCGCGGCTAGCAACTTCATGTGTAAAGATGGAATCATGTATTTTCAACCTGGTAATGCCATGTTTCAAATTTTAATGCATTCGATCACTTTTGTCATTGTAAGGGCCTCTTGCAATGTGTATGTTAAAAAGTGGAACGCAATTAGGTACATGTATCATGAACATAAGGATGCTCTCAGTAAAGATAATATCCCTCTCCGATGCGTTTTTGGATTTTACCGCATGTTGTTCTCCATGATGTCCGACGTTTCACTTCACGCACCGGACATCGTGCCATGGAACGTCAGACATTGCGCCGAACAACAACCGGCACAACCAGACAACACATCGGAGAAGCCATACAGCGCAACCGCGCAAAGCCTGCGCAGTACTGAAATATTTTCCATGACATTACGACGTAGTTACTTGTTTGAGCGCACGTTATATTTTTATTTTATTTCGAAAACACTGCGCCCTGTTTTCCAGCACCTATATTTCCCTTTCACCTCCCCCCTAGGTTTGCATTACAAATAAAACGAGAGCCGTGCGAGCCGATGCATGTGTTAGCAGAAACTTGGCATTAAGTGTAACCATTTTTTTGAAGACAAATATTGTTGGAAAATGCCTTTCCGCTAACGCATGAATGAGCTCCTTGTTGTCTCGGAGCGCTCCCACCTGGTAGTAATTAAAGCTTAATAATTATTGCTATGTATGGCGTGGGAGTTTTGTAACGTGGGGTAGTTGCTAGGGCGCAGGGGAGAGAATAGGGAAAGGTCTTACACCTGCGTAAACGTCATGTTGCGGACATGGTGCACGTGTTTTTGAGACTGCTGGCACAGTGGTTAGCACACCGTGCTGCGGACCTTGCTACCTGAATCCGATTCCTTGCCGTGGCTAACGTCAGTCTGGAGTCGTAACAGAACTGGTTCTGGGATCTCCCCTAGCTAGAATACCTTAACACGAGTAACTGGTGCAATGTGTAAACATCACCAGCGGGAAGACAAAGGTTATTGGGCATTGTGCTTGCCACACCCCCACTCCATAGTGCACTGTGGCATGCCAGCCGTGTGAAACGCTTGCCAAAATAGCACTCTGCACCAACAGCCTGTCGAAGGGCCACATGGCGCAACCTGAACTTTGTCTCTTGTGAGTGCAGCTCGTGGCTGCACGACCTGTGCCGTGGCGTGGAGTTCGAGCCTGTGCGGCCCAGGCAGCTGCCCAAGTCCATCGGCTGCAGCAAGAACTTCATGGGCCCGGAGGCTCTGGACACGAAGGAGAAGGCAAGGCGGCGGGCCCTGTCGTGCATCGCCACACGTGACCAACACATTTATCATATGCCGTTGCCCGCCCGCCCGCGAGAAAATTACGTGGCCGTAGTTTTAAAAATGTAGGTGGCGGATGCGCCAGGCGATTTGGTAGTGACACCTCGCCATCCATTGATCGCTCGAGCAAGTTTGGGTGATCTGGCTGCACAGATCGGTGTGCCCTCATCGGCGTTTACCCGTGTTCATTCCTCCCGATGCTCTGTGCTATGTGGCAACGGACTCTGACCCCCAAGCACCGGCAACAGCTTCTTCGTCAAGGTCGCGGTTTTAGGCGGAGCGACGGCTCCCTGCTAGACTAAAAATGTAGGTGGCAGGTGGCTCAAAGGTCACAGCTGGCACCGCTGAGGCCCTGGGTTCGAATCCAGGTGCTGGACAACTCAAATTTAGCGGGTTTTTTTTTTCAATCGTGCAGAACTGCCCCCGAAGTGTGTAGCTTCGACACTTCTTGTGGATTTGAAAATGCCAAGTTCTCTGGAGTGGCAAGATTACTTTTTACCCTTTGTATTTTCAGTGCACCGGCCACCCCGGCTGGCCTCTGGATAACGATGCTGACGTCATTGTGGCGATAAACAGAGTCGAGCATATTAACGCAACGTGCCTTTCAAGAGCATTGCGGAGGGAGGCAGCTGGGTGGGTGGCTCAAAGGTCAAGAGTGCTGGGTTGGCACAGATTGCATCCTGAGTACCAATCTGGACAGCTGCCCTTGCTCGTAGAGTTGTGATGAAACGAGTTTCTCAAGTGTAGTGGGTTGATGGTCTCAGCCCAGTCACTGATGACTGAATCAACATTTTTTTACATTTCGGTTTTGCACTTAACTTAGCTACATTCCATCTCTTGAGAATTAACAATCAGTTTGACCGTCAAGTAACTTGACTTCTCTCTCGCGTGGATTGGAATGTGCTGCCTCCTGCCGTATTGACCCAGAGGGTCAATTGAAGAGACCTCGGGGTAGCTCTGTCATATCCGCTTCCCTGGGCCATTCTTCAACAGCGGAGGGTTGCACTGCTCTGCAAAAGGCGCGAATGGGAAACTATCTCCTGACACGACACCGATAACACATCAGGAGGGGCAACCTCAAAATACAAACAAATTCCTGCGGAGGGAGCTGGTAGGAACGTTGGGTTGCTCGGCCAATGGCCAGGGTCAACGGCGGCGTGGTGTATTCCGCAAATATGCCCGACTGAGGGTGGGCACAAGCCGGCGTGAGTAGGTTATAAGGACACCACGGGGTGACCAGACCCTCCCCACCCAGCCCCTCCCCACCCTCCCCTCCCCACCCAGCCCCTCCCCACCCTCCCCTCTCCACCCAGCCCCACCCCTACAATTTTTGGATGCACGACGGACGGACACAATAATCCCCTGTGGGCTGGTGTAACCAGGAGGTTCCTACCAGTAAAAATGTTTCTCTGTTGTTGGAACGACCCTCAGGTGCAGCACTGGCTGCAGCAGCTGTCACTGGAGCTGGAGGAGAGACTGAATAAGGACAGAGACATGGTGAGAGAGCTGGGTTCTAAAGACCCTTTCTGTCTTACCATCTATTCACCGCTTGATGAGGGCCTCCCCACACTTAAGCTGGTCTCTGGGGTTATTTGACCATACTTCACCATACTGGTCAGTGCATGTTAGTGAAGGTGGGGAGTAGAGAGACGTATAACAGCCCCACAACAGCCAATAATTGAGCCTGTGTTGTGCAAGGTTGTCGTTCATTCAAGCGCTATCCAGGCTCAACCCCGATTAGTTTTCGAGATCTGGTGAGATGCGGCACAACATGGGTGATTTGGCCATATTATAAATGGTCTGCTCTTGTAAATTTCCACTGTTTACATTGAACGCAGTGCAACAATTCAGTTTCCACCCCGGCCCCCCCCCCCAGTCTCTGGAAAGTAGATCCCATGCTCGACGGTGACACGAACAAACGCTCCTTCCTCGAGCTGGGCTATCCGATTGGTCAAGTAATCGATTACTTACCTTGTTGTATAACAAAAAAATATTTTCGAAAAAAAAAAATATCTGGCCTGCTCCCATGTGTGCTGCTGGATGAGGCGAGTTGGCGAGGTTTGCGGACGTCGTCAGCTGTGTCGCACGTGACTTAGCTTGTGGGGGGGGTGGGGGGGGGGTGTGTTTCCCACATTGTGAGGTAGGATGTGAGAGGCAACCACCATTAATCGATCGCAACAAAATATTTAACCGCAGTTTTTATCGATTAATGGGTTTAATAAACTGGTCGTCCCAGCTCGACACCTGCATGCGTGTGGATCGTGAAGCTGCGTGTCGTGTGCGGCAGAACAATCGCGTGGCCAAGCTGCTGATGGCGGGCGTGCGGCTGAGCGGGGACCAGCGCCACTTGGGCCTGTCGCGCTCCTGTCCCCTGGCGCGCTACGACGCACGCCGCATCACCAGCGACGCCCTCGCGCTCATCGCCGCCTCCAACACGGCCGGTGCTCAGCAGGCGGCGTGGTGAGCCCAGTGTGAGAAAGTATCTTGACCCCCCCCCGCACCCTCCTTAGAACTGCAACCCCCCTCCGGAGTAAGAACACTTTTATCTGAAGGCAGAGAGTATAGATGTGGGGGTATGGTGTTGTGAGCAGAGGTCACAAACGGGTTTTGATTCCTTACCCGTACCCGGCCGTACCAGGGTCGCAAACGGGTACCCGGCCGTACCCTACCCCCCGTACCCAGCCGGGTACGGGGGGTAGGGTACGGGTATCAGGTACCTGATTGCGACCTCTGGGATGAAGCCATGTTGCAGGCGTGGGTGGGTTGATTCTAGGAACTTGAATTGTGAGAAGAGACAAGACGTTGGGAAATGAGTGACAAACAGTTAACTCACCAGTGACTCACGGCCCACCCGTACCCGGCCGCACCAGGGTCGCAAACGGGTACCTAGCCGGGTATCGGGTACCCTGGTTGCGACCTCTGATTGTGGGACAATGGGATTTTGCTGGACCGCCCTCTGCTGCCCACTACGCAGCACTGCAGCCTATCACAGCCCATCGTGCACGGTGGTCACCATTCTAGACGCGATCCAGACTTAATTCTCCACAGCTTGTGGGATCCGACAGGATTGGGTGCATTCCGGGTGAGTTGGTGAGAGGCAGTGTGTGAGTGGAGTAGACTGTGCAAATTCAAATGTCCCTCCACAATTATGTTAAGGTTTATCAAACTTGTATTTCTCCTCTTTATCTTGAATGCAGCTCTGCAGCCTTCTCTATTGAATTATGCCATTATCCTTCATTATTTCGTCATCTGTTCTTTAAATTAATCCACACACATCCACCTGCACCCTCCAGGTCTCCAGCTGTCACCTGCCTGTACCTCTCTGCCACCAAGTTCTCCGATTCTGCATCGAGTTCCGGAGGAATCGCCAGCTTCCTGACGGGTGACGCCTCGGCCACCCAGAGCCTCGCGCCCCCCACGCAGAAACCTCTTCCTCCACCCCCCTCGGCGACACCCGAGGGCCAGCGTAACGATCGGAGCCCGGCGGCGACGGACAAACCGGGTATTCTCGCCTTCTTCAAGAGAACGGCCTCTCGATTAGACGGCCTCAGAGCCGGGAGCGAGACTCCAGTGCAGGCGTTGACCTGTGACCTTCCTTCAAAGTCGATCGAGGGCAGTTGCCCTGAACCACAGACTCGCTTGCCGGCTCGGAGCCCCCAGAAGGTGATCTCGTTCTTCCAGCGGAGGGCGCTCGGTGCCACAGTGGCAGAAACCACAACAACAGCGGAGTCGAGTTTCGTGGCTGAAAATTCTTGTGACGCACCGGTCGAAAAGTCAGTCGGCACCCAGGCCAAGGACATAACTGCAGGATCTGCAGACCCCAATCAAGAAATTCATGACAGCAGCAAAGCAGACTTAGAAGCTGTCAATCATGTTGAGAGTGAGAAAGAACACGGGGAAACAGCCTCTGCTGCCAACAAAGGAAGGCAATGATGGAGGATTTGAGTTTTTGAATAAAAATGAAGATGAGTGCGATTCTACTGCGCTGGCACGTGACGACAGAGGTTTAGAAAGCAGCAGCAGCAGCAGGATGGATCGATCCACTTCTGAGGACCGAGAGGGAGGTTCAGCATCCTGCAGCACGTCCGAGGACTACGTGCTGTGCGAGAAGTGCAACGCGCGCGTGCTGGTGTGGGAGATGCCCGAGCACACCGACTACCACTTCGCACGGCGACCTGCAGGACTCCTTCTCTGCCGCGTCACCGATCGTCCCGCGAGGCCAACACCTGTCGCCGCCACCACCACCACCACCAAGACACTCCCAGCGTGGCAAGGTCACCAGAAAAAAGACGGGCGAAAACCCTGCCGCCAAACGGCAGAGGACCTCGGGAAACGTTGGCACATTGGATGCCTTCTTCAAGAAGTCTCCTGGGTAGACGTTACACTTTCTAACTTTGCTGGATTTAAGCGGTAGGCTTAAATCTGTTAAATGTAAGATTAGGATTTTTAAACCTTTTTTTACCACATACCAAGTTCCAAACCTTACTGTTCTGCTTTAAACCATATTTTTACTTTAAGGACACCTTTCAAAATCAATATGCAGTGGAGAGGGGTTTAAAAAGGCCACAGCCTATCGCTTACATCGGTAGCATTGTAAAATGTACGTTTTTGATCACAAGTTGCACATCCGCCACTTTAATGCGTATACTGCTTTTCTTAAATGTTGTGAAAAAATAAAGAGCATTTTGTACGATTTTAAAATGGTGGCACTGCGTGTGTATTCACACCACAAATGGACGAGTGGCAAAATCGTGCTGTGGTTGGTGTGTAATGAATGGTTGTGTGTACAGGTGGTTGGTGCAGGAAATCATGTGTACTGGAGGGTCTGCATATGGGATCCGTAACCCTGAAAGAGCACTTAATTATCCGTTTAACATCTCCATCATAAACTCTGATCCCAGCACTTACATTGTATATTTTAAAAAACTTAACCCAACTGCTTTAACAATAATTAAACTTTTGGTTTCCCAAGGGTGGTACATAATTTGAGTCTAATAACTTCTAACATGCATACACCGATAATAACCACATTATTTTTCTACATAATCGCCCTCTTTAACAATGCACTTTTCATGTAATTCCTGGCACTTTTAAATTCCTTGCAGAAATGACTTCTCTTCCAGGCCATTCAGTGTTCCCCCATGCAGCTCTCCTCCACCTCATCAGAACGCTTTTAATGCATTAGTTTCTTCAGTTTGCTCCTTAAATTTTTGAAACATCACAAACAAGCCACACGTGACACGGAATATAGTTTAAATCTAAGCAATTTAATATTCTTTTGTTTTTACAAAATGTACAGTTAACAAAAACCGAAAAAAATATACCGTAGTTATATATTTTCTTAAAACGAAGCGTACGGAACGACCAAACGGGATGGACGAGCTCACGGGTTCGCGGTACGAGACCCGAGGAACGGGGCACGCACGGACGCCGGACGCAGTATCTATCACGGTGGACAGCACCAAAGAGCCACACAAACTCACCAGCGCCCCATGCTGCACGTGCTCAGCTCGATCAAGAGACTCAACGCTTCGGCATCGAGTGAGAAAACGTCACGGATGTTTAGACCCCAAATAGGAGGGCGACGGGGATCGTAGTAAACCTTGCAATACACGACAGCAATGCTGCAAATGTTTTAAGGTCGTGTTATCCACGAAGGCGACCGCCATTCACTTTCGTATATTTCTATACACTTTAAAAGATGTAGGTGATCAGTGTATTCATAAAGTGGACTCTTTACTTAGCAGGGTTATTCAGTTTGAAATTATTTATCCGCATTGAGAAGCAGACAAATGCTCCAAATACCATGGTGTAACATTAACGGAACTGGAATTTTAACCCATGCTGGGATGGTGGCGATGCATTCAGTAGAGTGTTCGTAAAATCTGATTTGCTCGATAAATAAGCCAAATCTTGTAAAATTACCTTTCAAAGTACACCCTGGAGCCAGAGTTAGTTATAAGAGAATGCTTAACAGCTAGTATCAATATCATAGGATCCTGTTAAAGAGCTTCACATCTCATCGAGTTCCTCCAGGATAAATAAAGATAACGATTCTGTTAAACATCAATGCTACCAATTGTAGTAGAAATTAAAAAGTGAATGGCAGCAACTCCATTAGACGTTTCAAACATTAAATATTTTGCAGTGCGTCCATTCAGATTTGCCCCTTTATATTTCCGTGAAGTTTAGCCAGGATTCTTTCTCCATCGTGCGTTAATCCGCTTAACAGGAACACATACACATGCGACGTGAGACAACAACGACGACGACAACAGCCGAGGGGTGAGTTCGAACGCTCAAGCGCAAAAATAAGACAAGATCTGGGACGTTGATATCATTGGACGTTGAATTAATAACAAAACTAAATCGACCAAAAGTGCTTTTCCAGACTAGTAAATAAACCTCGTAATGTTGAACACGAGCATTCTAATAACAAACAACAACATTTATGATGCACGCTCGCTAAGTGCTATGAAGGTTTAAATAAAATTGGGTAACGTTGACACGTGGAAGGATTTCGAATCCCGTGTGCACATCGCAGATGGACGGCACAGCCGGAAGTTTAACGTGAAGTCTGTCGGCCAGCAGCCTGCTGGGTCGACGTCGGTGAAGTCTATTTGACGAGCGTCTTGGTGGTGTTCCTTTCCAACGATTATAAAAAAAATTCTACCACCACCCCCAGATTTCTTTAACCTTCTACACGGTGACTGTCAATCCAATTTCTATCTTAAGAGCATTTTTTGGGAGCATTTTTTTATACTGAAACTCATTTTCCATAAAACCTGCATCACTTTATGTCAACGGAAGTGAAGAAGGAAAGGGCCTTTAGCTGAGATTGGTGCCAGTACATACAGTACTTAATAATTACAACACAGAAACCTGTTTAACAATGGGTACAATATTGCGAAGTTTGAACAGGAAGTATTTGGCATGCTAAAAAAAACACGACGGTCAAGACCTTAACTGCATTAAAATGCATTGTATAAAGTTGTAAAACTTATTTAAGTACACATCCTTTTTTGAGTGGACCAAAAACTTTATCGTTAAAATGATGCAGCAGTGAATGCCAAAAGGCACCATTTACCTCGAGCAATGTTCCAAGTGCGATGGAGATTTTCCGAGTTTCTCTCGGCCTCGAGCAGGGCATGGCAGGCACAGGGCATGCAGAACAGAAGGGCAGGCATGTGGTTAAGTCCCCCTGTTTAGCGTTAGCGATGAGCAACTGGCACCTGCCACAGCCGAGGATGAGGATCATCAAGGTCACCGATGTGTTATTGGGTTGTTGCGCGCGCATCGTTCAGCACGATATCAGACGTTTCGATGCACGTGCCGGAAGCTTTTCACAGGAATCCGTTTGCCGCCGCACAAAACGAGCCGCGGTACAACCCGAAATAAAACATCGAAGCGCACTACAGTACGGCCACGAAAAGCTACGCAAGTAGTACTTGAGTCGATGTAATGAAGATCAAAGATACCTTGTGCGTGTGCTTGGCGTATGATATTTCACGTCAGTGTCACTGAGACTGCATATAACATACACGTATGCACCAATATATGCATACAATACATATGTATAATGCATATCTCTTACATACACATAGATATACACACACACAAATATATACACATATATACAGGTGCGCAGATATATTTGTTTAACCTGTAAAATTATATTTGTTTACGTTGTAAAACAAACAGCGTATGCTTCAAACAGAACGTAAAATCATGCTGATGAAATTCCAAACAGTGCTGGAGTATAAAATGAGCAGTTACGAGTATAACATGTTGTAACTTATCCACAAATACCAGAATTATATTGTAAAATCTACCTATGTTGTTGATAACTAAAAAAAACCATGAAGACACAATTAGCTCCTGTCTTGGCATCAAGGCAGACAAAGTCAACAGTCGTTTCTTAAATACATCACACTGCCAATAGCACCAACAGTGCACTGTCGTCATCAGATGTTAATTAGAAGTACACAGCAGATAACAAGGTGGTAATTGCACTGATCGCAGCATACATTGTAAGGTCAACACACAAACTCAAATAAATATTGAAACTCCACAGTGGTATGCCCGTACGAAGGAAGAGTTCGGCTACTCCAACCAGACTGGCAAAACGACGAGCGAGCCAGCGATAGGTTTTTTGCGAGGCAGACACAGCATTGTCCTCGAAATACCAGAGCTAATTCGGGAGTAGGGTACACTCCGGTCTATTAAGTTTTACTCGCATTACTCAATTATGTATAAGAAGACGGCAGCTGACCAATTGGAAGCTTCTTATCTTGCTCAAGCATGCATATAATTGCATAAAAAATTGTAATGGGTTGAAAGTCACTTAAAAAATTTAATTTATCTTATTTGGATCATACGTGCAGTGCAGTACTCTACAGTAGTGCCCGAATGATTGGCACTTGACATTAATGTGCAAAGTGGAGACGCGGATGACAAAAAGCATTGCTTTGCATGCCGTTCAATTTGTAAACGTCACAAATGCTAATGTCTTTTTATTTTTAGGGGTCCCGCCCCAAAAGACCCACACTTATATGCAGGACAAGGTTTATCCTCTCATATTATTTCGAGGACACACGTATCTGGTCGTGCCAGCACAAGCAACTTTAAAAGCCACGTGACCAATGCAGACATGGTCCCGTGGCGAATAAACCCCACCAAAACCTGATACTGGCCGTTGCAAATCAGAAGGGAGCCGGAGACTCGTGCCTCGAAGGGGTTGGGAAATGTGCATGCACAAGTGTTTCAATAACACTGGAGTGAGAACAATAAAAGACTCCTTGTTGAATCGAGGCGAGCTGAAAAGCCTGAGTGAGCCTGCGACTTATCTTGCTGGATCAACGGTGAGCTAGAAGGCTGAGTAAAAGTCTGCTACTTCATGAGCGCAGGGTACAATGTGAGCGTGGCCTCATGGGTTCAGTTCAGGCAAGGCCTGCTTCCCGTGACCTGCTGTGTCATGAGCACGTGCCCACTATGACCTTTAACCTGATTGAGCTCCCATCTCGGAAAGAGCGCTGCATTGACAAACTCCAAGCGCTCCACCGTGGAAGTCCCGTTATCTTATTCTAAAACAAACTGCAGCCCTGCTGTTCGTGACTATATTGTGCTCCACTGTTAAGTAAGGAGATGTTTACCTCGTGACATCTGCACATGCATATACTGTAAAACTAAAAAAACGATTTGTCTTTGCTGATGGAGATCACTGCATATATGGTGAAACCTCTGTGGGTGTGTGTGGAGTTTAAGAAGAATGCGTCTCGGGTTAAAATACAAGGAGAACAAAACTAGCATTGCGTTTTAAAATGTCTTCACCGTATCCGGCCGAAGCCTGCAGCACCAGGGAACCGCACACGTTCATAAGGTAACCCTACTTTACCGCAAGGGGTAATCGACAGCAGTCTCTTCTCTTACTTCATCCTCGGCTCGCCGCTTTCACGAGGAACTGTCGTCGGACGAGGGAGAGGCCGGCAGCGAGTGCAGCTTGGTCACGTGACCCATGCCTCGGGTGGCGCCCTCGCGGATGAGCAGCTTGGCGCCCAGGCGGATGTACTCGGGCTGCTTGATGAAGCGCAGCGTCACCACGGCGTTCTCACCTGTCCGCACGTTCTCCTGCAAGCAGTCACGGCCGTCGGAAATTATAATTAGAGTTTTTGACTCAAAACGCCTCTGCAATGACGACAGAACTGGCCAAACATGCCAATGCAGGACCCTCCGGAAAAAAGCGTTTTGTACGACGTAGAAGAGCCATTTCTCCTAACATGTAGCCTATTGTATGTTTGTCCTTTCAGGGCAGTGTTATTGACGAATGTTGTTATTTGTGTGCTCATGCTCCAATGCTCATGCAGTATCGCAAAAAAAACTTTGATCTTGAAACTCCATGAAGTTTTCCTGGATATTTCATTATTATTATAACACCAATTGCATCGAATGTATCAAAATTTCGAAATTTAATTGCCTTTTGAATTTAATTTGCATCATTATGGGACACCAAATAATAATAAACAGATCATCACCAAGTCCATAGTCATGAGATTATCACTCTCACCGACTGCGGACAAGCTAATGGCACGTGGCTCACAAGAAACAAGATTTATATCTCAAGAAGAAGTCGAACTTGACTTGTACATTTTTTGGCTCGGCTTTTGTACGCGTAGGTTTCGAACAGCCTTGGGCCTATCCACTCGGCTCCTGCAGCTAGCAACTGTCGACACCGTTTCCCTATTGGTCCCGACAACCACGGACCCCCCCCCCCAACCGCCGCTCCGCTCACCTTGTCGAGGATGTCCTCCACGATTGCGGTCTGCCGCACGTTGCTCACGTGCACAGTCACCTGGAAGCCCTGCCGCACCGTCTTGGCGTGGAACAACAGCACGATCTCGGCATCGAACGCCCAGCACACGGTGGGGCACATTTTGGGGCTCACCAGCACCATGCCCTTTTGGGGAGGGGGGAGGGGGCAGACCACGGACAGCAGTGGGGAGGAGTAACAGTTAGGTACGCAACGGAATGTTGACTTATTGAACATCACGTGGACCATTGACGAAGCAACGCCCAGCATGACACGGCTGAAGCAGATGACGTCAACTCCAGTCCAACCGTTTTTTCTTTAGTCGAGTAATCGTGTAGTGTATGAAATTACTCTCACTGACACGGAGTAACAGGTCACCTGCTTACACTTTACTAATCCTACTCTCACACCCGTTGTAGGCACACCGATGACTGCCTTTCACCGTCACCACACACTCTGCTTCTCCTACTACCCACTCTCATCTACCCCGCACCTCACCTACTCTCTCTCCTATCTCGCCGCTGCCATCTGCCCTTCCCTACACCGCCCCGTACCCACTCACCCGTCTGTCCCGGGCGGGGGGTTCAGCCAACACCCGCCCGGCGACGGCGTGAGGGGCAAGGTCCCGTTGACGGCCCGAGTGGCAGCGGCGAGATGTCCTCTCTCTTGGTCCCCGAACAAACTCACTTTACTCACGCGCACTCCCGCTTATGTACTTCACGTGCTCCCCACTTAAGCTGTCGCATCTACGGCACCTCTTGCGCTCATTAATCCCTAATCATCGCCCCCGATCTCCCGCCTCTCCGGCGCCAACCTCGCGCCCCAACGCGCACACCTGCTCGTCCCCAATTTGACCCTCTCGACTGCGCGCACTGCGTACATCCCTACTCTACAACCGGATCAATAATCGGCAGAGTAATCGACTACCGACACAATCGGGTAGCCCAAGCTCTCATCGGATTTGTCGTGTGTCCTCGGTCACCCGGCAAGCCCCCTGGTGGACACCGCTCACCTTGCGCAGGAGGTAGCGGTCGAAGGGGCCCAGCGCGAGCGTGGCGGCCTGGCCGGCGCGCAGCACGCGGCTCGGCGCGCGGTTCCTCTGTATGGTGGCGACGGCGACCGGCAGGAACTCGCCGCGTTCCGTGGGCCCCACCACGAAGCCATCGCCCTCCCGGCACACGCCACTGCGCGGAGGAGAGGACACCGCAGATCGTTCAAGGTCCCGACCTCCCACGTAGATGCAGGAGGAGCAAGTACAAGCGTGACTTCGTAAAGCAATCGACTACAATCGGCGCTTCGGTTATGCACATTACCTTGGTTGGGGCTTAACCACTCTTGCGGAAAAATGTATCAAATATTTTAAAGCGTTCGCGCGTTTCATTATTTCAGACACGGACTGTTAGATCCGCAATGAGAATTCCACTTGCGTAACATTCTCACCTGTATAACGTTCCTCCGACCACCGTGCCCACTTCAGGTACCGTGTAGATCTCATCCACCTGTGCCAGTCATAACATAGGCAACGTGTGCATAAGCAAGCAGATTTTATTTCAAGAAGTGTAATCAATGTTATTACCAGATAATCTTGAGAATTTAGCATAAACGCACTTTCATTTGTTCCAGGCCTCTGAAGAAACTAGCACTCTCCATGAAAATGTGGAAGTTGTAGCACTGGCTCAAAGCCGTCACCAGATATGACCAATGCCATTCTCTGCATTGGCCATGACAGTCCCCATTTCAGATGGTCTGTTCCAATGTCTTGAAGCATTCGCAAGACTTACGATTTTGTACGGGTTAAAGAACATGTTCTGGCTTCTCGCTAGACTCGTATGATACCAGAAAAGGATGGAGCTATGCAAGTGCAGTGGCATAGAATAAGCGATGTAGCAGCATAGCGCTGGCTGCTGGCGGGGAAGGGGATCTGCGGCTTACAGCAGCCCTGACAGTCAGCAGGCCACGTGATACACCAGAGGGGATATCTGGGGGAAAGGTCACAGAAGGGGCACGTGGGGGAAGCCCGGGAAGCCGCTGGTAGGTTCTAGAGAGAGGGCGTGGCCGGGGCGGAGCGAGGCCACGCTGGGAGCACAAAAGGGGGGGCCCTGAGCGAGAGCTCGGGGCTGTCGTGTGGAGTGGGATTCCCGTCGTGCTGTTGAAGATCGTCGCCGTCGTCGCTGTCGTCTCGTCGCTATCGTCGCTGTCGTCTTCACTCGATATTGCGCTGCTAGACGGTAGTTGGCTGTCTGGTTCAGCGCCGTCGGTGTTAGACGGCTAGCGTTGTGTAGAGGCGAGCAACTCGCGTAGAGTTGTGTATAAGCGAGCGACAGAAGAGTGTGTACCAGCGTAGGGTGTGTACTGTGCCGAGGGTGCTCGTTAAATAGAATAAGTGCCTCCAACTCTTAGCGTCTCCGAGTTAAGTCACTACACAAGTAGTGGGTGGGATTGGCAGAGCAGTAGGTGGAGCCAATGAGTAGGCCGTGAGGCCAGCATCCGAAAGAGGGGCCACACTGTGTGGGTGGGGATACCGAGGTGGGTGTGGCTAAGTAAAAGTGGGCAGAGGGAGGACTTGGCAGCTCATCACGTGTCCTAGTTGAGCCTCCCAGAAATTTGGTAACTTGGTATTTTTTCACTATTACATCCACTCCATTGCGGATAATTCTAAATTACCATCAGAAATGAGTACTCGCCGATTAGAGAGGGGAAGCTTTACCTCAGGCTAGATTTACAGATAACCACGCGCATCAGGTGAATCGCAGTGTCAATGGTGGTGGTTAGCAGCGGTGAGATCCTCACCTGAAACTCGGCGAGCTGCTGCATCAGCTGCTCCTGCTCTTGCACGTTGCTCTGAGGCGGGAGCACGTTGAGGAAGGTTTTCAAGAGGTCCAAGTTCTTCCCAGTCACGTTGGACACGGTGAAGATCGGTGTTATACTAAAGACACGGAAACAAACGTGCTGTTGCAAGATGGACCGTGAGCAATGGGCGAGGAAGTGGCGGTTGCGGTGGCGAGATGTTAAATCCCTCGTCTGGTATGCAGGAGGTTGTGGGTTCGATCCCGACCCTCATGCATGCCTGCTTTATATTTGGAGTTTGCATGTTCTCCCTGTGGTCATGTGGATTTTTCTCCGGGTCCTGCGGCTATTCCCTCCACATTTAGAAACGTGCACTTAAAGAGTATTTGGCTGCTATAATTTCCACGTGATAACCCACTTCATCGAGCTGTATAGAAGCCAGGTCACTTCTCAAAAAGAGCTATATAGCTCAGTGGGCCTAACCTGGTAAAAAAAATAAGTTTTTAGTTTAGTTTTAGAGTGGCAAAACCTTAACCCACAAGTTGATAAATGAACGAGGATGATGAGAAGCAATTGATACAAAGACGACGTAAGAAGAGACCGCCCCCCCCCACCTGCTGCACTGTGGGAACTTGGTGGCGGCGGTCATGGCGTCGTCGGGGCCACACACGAGCAGCGGCACTTTGTTGCAGCTGGGGCTGCGCAGCAAGCGCTCGAGCTGACGCACGGTGCGCTCCACCGTGCCGGGCGAGCACACGTCCACCTTGCTCACCACGATGAAGAACGGCACCTTGAGTGCCATCGCCAGCCCAAGATGCTCTTTGGCCGTCCCAACTGTCGACGAGACAGAATGTACATTAAACTAGCCAATGTAGGAAGGACAACAAACTAAACACAAAAAGCAGAAATGAGTTTAAAAGTGCATAGCTCTAGTGGTTTCCTAATATCGGAAGGAAGAGCGTTCCAGACGGCCGCAGTAGAGCCCCTGAAAGCGTGCGATGTGGTCAGTCTTTGTTCGATGGGTAGACAAAAGCCGCTGCTGTGAGGATGACCGGAGTTCGCGTGATGGTTTATGCTCCTTGACAAGATAGCAAGGTATTGTGGTAAATTTTTCATAAAATGTAAAAGTAAAAAAATAAAAGAGGTTGCCGATTGATTTTACACGAGGAGCATCAGAGTTGGATTCAGTGCAGTGCAACCCAAAGAAATGTTCGTGTGTGGTTCTGGTTATAGGTGCTCATGAATAGCACTTGCCCCTACAGTCTGTGAAAGCTATGAGGGGGGAAACGTTGTCTTTGTGGTTATTGGTGACCAGACCAACATCTCACTACACTTGAAAGCCAAGTTTTATGATAGGTGGCTGCCCAGATTTGTAACCCAGGATCTCAAAAGTACCGGCTCAGTCCACTCTCTGACCCTTGACTCACCTTTTGTGAATGTATTTTAACTATATTGCCTCTCGGATTGTTTTAATGAAGTCTGTTGTTAAACTTTGGCGGTTACACTGCCAAACCTCTCAGAAATATATCTAAGGGCACAGTCCGATATTAAAGTGAACACTTAAGAGCAAAGACCCTGTGGCATTTTCAATTGGGCAACCGTGGTCTGCTCTCGTCGCCCAATTTGTTCTAAATAAATAATAAAATGCCAATGCTTTTCTCACAAAGTTCAATCGAGGGCATCACTCTCTTTCAAAAATAGCAGTGCCACATTCCAAGCAAATGTGTTATATTTTTACAGCCAAGTTACTATTTTTACTATTTTATTACAGTACTGTCAGTGGAATGCGGACCATCAAATACAAACAGGTTGTCACAGGGCTTAGGTGCTGAGCAAATAACCCCAAATGGCAACATAAAAGCACACAAAAACAGGTACCTTCCTGTTTAGTAAATTTTTTCAGGACAGAAATACTTTGCTGAACAAAAATAAATTGCACCTTGGCAATGGATGCATGCACCCCAAAGCAAAATATAAGTTAGGACCACTCAAAAACATCAAACATTTCATACACAATCAACATCAACCACCTTCCAATTTAATAAGCAGCTATTGGCCACACCTCAAGCCACTGGTACATCACACACATTTGACACTCTGCAACAACACTACACTCAGCGCTAAAAACAAAGCACCCTTTTGCGGCAAGTGCTGTTTGCGAGCAGCTATGAAGGTCGTCACGGCACACGAAGAAGGATATGTGGCCAGGACCATGTCCATACGTCTATGTCTCCCTAGTGGCAATGTTTACACATCGCACGAGGTACTCAATTGAGGCCGAGTCGACCTAGGGGCGATCCAAGACTGGTTCAGATAATCGTCACGGGTGTTGGCCACGAGCGGAAATTTAACTCGGGTTGCTGGGTCCGTAGTGCAGCACGCTACCCACCCGCAACGCTACTGCTTCCCCCCAGTTGGCAACACCACATCACACTCGGCAGAGGCAAACATAAACCTTATCAGAGTCACATGCAAGCGTAAACACAAAGCCATAACCCCCAACTCGACACCTCATCTTGTTCGGCTGACCGGTACACGGTGATCGGGACGTTTATTAATAACCGGGGCATCACTTTCCCAGACTTCAGCAGGCGAATCGGGCTTCAAAACATCCCCTTACACAATCGAGTGAGGGGGGTGCTTGGCAAAAATAAACTCCGCATGCCTGTTCAGCTTAACCATAGCACTTGCAGCCTGACTGTCAATTGTACAACCCCAGCACGCATTTTCCGAGCAAACGCAGTGAGAATATTCCCATGGATGATGAGAATTTCCTCAGCAGAGGTCGCCGGGTGGATCACAGATCAGAATGCAGAGTTGGCAACCAATGAGATCCTAGGATTAAATCTGGGTTTCAGCTGCCTGTGACCTGATCCTAACCGGATTCTGAGGTGAAATTAGTTAATGATCTCAGCCTGGTCTTCAATGACTGCACAAAAAAGGCCATCGCATAAACATTGGTTCTTCCACTCAACTTCCAGAGATAGAGAATTTTAAATACCAGCTTGTCTGTCATGGGACAAACATTACTCGTGGTGGCAGGGCAAGAGGGAACGTGCTGTCCTGCGCCCCCCCCCCCCCCCCCCCGTTACTGTGGACCAGAGGTCACTTGAAGGGGTCTCAGAGGTAGAATTTTGATTTAAAACTTTCGTGACTGCAGGATTTCATATTCGTTGGTTCTTTTGGTAAAGCCACGTAGATATAAAACAACAAAATAAAAAAATTAAAAACTCAAGACGTTTCGATCCCCCCCCCCCCTTTTCTCTCCGCCTGATGACAACCTCTTATGTTGCAATCGAAACGTCGTGAGGTTTTGTTATTTATTTTGTTGTTTTTCTATCTATGTGACTTCTCAGAGGTAGCTCTGTGACATCTGCTTTTGTGGGGTGTTGTCTAACGTGAAGAGTTACACTACTCTGCAAGAGATCTGAAGGGATTATTTTTCTCATGACATACCGAGAGAGAACAGCTGAGATACAATTGGGATAAAGATTAATTTACTTTGAAAGATTTTCATAAACAACTTTTTTCCTCTTTGCTGGTTATTTTTAGTCCGGATTGCACGGGACAAATATCTTTTGACACTGCACCCTTGAACACTTTCACAAGACATGATGAACAAGCATCAGTCATGGGCCAGCAATTACGGCCATCAAGTGATGAGCTGCCTCTTATCATGTGACACAAATACCATGTTATGTATACTCACAACGGAACCGAGAGGCCCCCCACAACATTCACATGTGCAAGATGACTTGAATTAAAAAATTCACTATCCCCTTTTAAAATTTTGATTGCGTCACCTCCCCACAAACGACTGAAATATAACGTTCACTTATTCCACTTACTCTTGAAAAAAATACTATCTGAACAAAGAGCTCTTCTGGCGCGTCGTGTTTTTGCAGGACGTCACCTCAACAATCTTTTCTATCTTCCAAAGTGGCTCAGAATTTACTAACAACTAACTCCATTATCTGTTTCTGCTTGTGGATACGAACATGCCAAGTTAGTTCTCTGGAGTGACAAGATAACATTTAGCCTGTGCATTTTGAGTGCAGACGCAAGTCACCCCAATTAGACCCTGGATAATGATGCTGGCGTCATTATAGATTTAATGCCACAGCCAAACACATTTCAACGCAACACGCCTTAGATTAGATTAAAAAGCATTATGGAGGGAGGCGACTGAGTGGCTCAGAGGTCAGTGTTGAGCTGGTACTGATTAGATCCTGGGTTTCGATACAGGCAACCACTTGCGATTAAAAACCGGGTTCTCAAGTGCAGCAAGTTGGTGGTTTGAGAATGGTCACCATGACTGCACGGTGCAATAATTCCCAAGAGAACTCTCTTCGCCGAATGGCATGATACCAAGGACATCATTTGTATAACGGAGCAGTTCCACAAATTAGGCAACCTTCCAGTGAATATTACTATATCATCCCACCCACCCCATTTCATCGACAATTGAAAGTTGACCGCAACAACAATTCCCCGCATCTTCAAAGCGTGCATCTAAAAATGCACACCTGAAATCGTGCAGCTGTTCAATAACGGGGGGAGGGGGGGGGAACCAAGGAAATCACAACAGATTGGCGGGGAAAAGCTTGAATCCATCCGTCGCTTACCGAGACCAGTGTTGGCGCCAACCACGAGCATGGCGAAGTCGGGGGCGTAGCTGGTGAGGCCGAAGATGGTGGTGCGCAGGTATTTGTGGTGGCCGGCCAAGTCGATGAAGGTGATCATCTTGGAGGAACTCTCGCAGATCTCCTCTGCCGTGCGCGAGCCGTTGTAGTTAACGACCTGCGGCGAGCGGTGAGCAGATCTGAGCACGTGAGCAGACTTTGCACGGCACGGCAAAGTTTTGCCGACTTGATATTTATTAACTTTTTTGCCTATCCGCTGTTGGATGAAGGACTCTTCTAAGCCATGCGCGTCGTGCGGTTTGTGTGACAAGAATTCACCGCTATGGTCATTGCGGGTCGGTACAGGGGGAGCCCAGGACTGGTTCAGATATCACACGCCACTGATGTTAGTCATGGGCCAAGAATTGAACTCAGTTCTTTGGGATCATAGCACAGTGCATACATAATAACAATAACGTCATTTATTTAAGATATTCAAGCTAGTGCTCCATTGGGATCTTTGGCAAAATTCTATTTCAGTGAGTGTATGTTTAGGGGAACCCAGAAAAAATGCATGCATATAATAGGTTAACACTCATAAGTCAGTACAGATGGGTTTCATGACGCCACCTTCTGCACTGCCATCATCTGGATACCCTTAGCTCAGAAGATGTTAGAGTTTTACGAACTTGTGTGATCTACCAATCCTGGTCTCGAAAGAGCCAAATAATAGGGTTACGCTTTAAAATAAAACCGGCTTGTTTTATCGCTGAGCTCTTGCATGGATCTAAATGCAGGTTAATTGCACTGACCAGCATACTAAAGCATGGCCAAATAACCTCCATGACCGATTGCAATGCAAGAGACATCTGTCTCAATGAGCTCTCACCGGTATATACAAAAAATCATCACAGGTGTGTTGCATGTATGTGTTTGTTATATATACAGCATGGCTACAAAAGAATTGTATTCATAGTGCAAATCAAGAGGTCATAAAGGGAGTCGTCAGGGTAAATTGTATGAGCAAACACAAGAATACGATCAGGCAAAAAGACTGAAATATTTAGCATCGATCTGAAACAGCGGAGGAGATTAAGCAGGGCTATCCACACACATTTGGGATTTGTGACCCACCTCGCCCTTGCTGTTGAAGCCCAGGATCTCGAAGCTGATGCTGGAGGTGCGCCCAGACTGGATTTCATGAAGGTGGCGGAAGAGGTTAAGACGCGCACGACCCCTCCCGTTGTCCAGCTCTCCTTGCGTCAGGACACCCAGCAGTGTCGACTTGCCCGCGTCCACGTTGCCCAGCACCGCTACCCGTAGGTCCAGGAACTGCCGGCACAGACGATGGGGTGGGGGGTGGGGGGGCACGACGCACTTCAGCAAAACGCAATTTAAAACAAGTTGGGAGACATCACTTACGTGACGTGGAGCATGTAACGATTTCTCAACGAGCACTTGTCCTCGAAAGTTTTCGATTAGCGTTAACGTTAAATTCCAAGCCACGCGACAAGACGATGTTGCACGTAATCGCATTGGCCGAATAGATTTATCCAATTAGTGCCCGTTTTGTTTTTTTGCCAAGTTTTGTTTGGGTGAGCATTACATTAATTTGGCTGGTTTTCTAAAGGATAAGGTCCTAAAAACATGACAACATTTTACTAACATTTTATTAACATTAGATATCTTTTAAAGTTATTGTGACCGCGTGTCACAGACAGACAGACAGAGCTTATGCATTAACGCTTTCAACCATAGTTGGATACTTGTCATTAAAGTATCCCTTGGTCATTCACTGTTGCGCGAGGAAACCCAACAGGATTGCTTGGCTTAAAATTGGACTTTGCACCAATATATCCCCATAGACAGAAAGGGCTGGATTTCATGTGTGGATCATCCAGTTTATGCCAGTGGCGTAATAAGAATGCATAGTCTGTGGAATGCTGAAAGGAATGTCCTGCCCAAGAAAATATATTTTGACTTCCACCCCAAGCCAATCGTATTATTGTGCCACCAATGCTGTACCTAAAACTGGGCCCCAGTATTGCTACAATCGTTGTTGCAGGAAAACCATGAGATGCCAGTTCCGCAATGGAGTGTTTTTTTCTCTCGTGCATGTGGCCTTTCTCTGAGCACTCCACATTCCTCTCACATGAAGCTAAGCAATTGTGCAAGGAGGTGACCAGACTCAGTGACACTCTTTTCTAGATGATAGACATATGATGAAAAACCCACAATAAAGACCAAGGGTCACCTACCTGTTGGTCATCTGGAACCTTCCGTATCAAGACCTCAGCCACCATTTTTGGGCACTTGTCCTCAAACTCCACGTTTCTTTCTCGTAATATTGTTAAGTCTGCTCCAAGCCTGTTAAAAACAGATAATATAAAAAAATCCACATTCGTCAATAAAACTGACTTACAAAGAAAAATATATAACAGGTGATGTTTGGGACAAATGGTGCTTATTCGTAGTATATGAAACGACACATTATATTACAGTCGTTGAAAAAAGCCCCAAATTTTCACGTATGTTGCAAATTTGTCTTTTCTTGAGGTAATTGGCTACAACTGTTCCATTTTAAATATTGGCATGACAAACGTGCATACCAAACCCATATTAACAGCACTACGTGGATTGGTTTTGCAAATACTTATAATACAATAGAGTACAAATAAATCAATTATGGATCAGAATAGCCATGCTTTTCGAGAATAAAACACGAATAGGATATAAAATTGCTTTTGTTCAGGACAATGTTTGACAACTTTCAAACATGCAAAAACATTTTTATAACATACCAGAGCATATCACACCAAAACATTAACAAGATTCCAATGTAATACTTAAGTAAATAAATACAAAATATCATCCCTTTTGTTTATTCACTGCTAGATGACCTCCCGATGCTGTTTGAATTTCATTGCTACACCTCCAGAGTTGGTCTCGACCATCGGCCGTCATGCCTTTGAGCAATGTGTCCTGCCCAAGCCCAAACCTACCTTCCTTAACATTCTTTGACGACTTGAAACGTGTGCAGTTTCGAATCAACGTGTTCCTCTTCTCGTCTCCGTAAAGTAATTCCAAGCATGCGCTTTTGCAAACCTTTCAGTTTTTGTTCCACTTTGTCAAATGTACACGTTTAAGATCCATGTGTCAGAGCAGGTTAAATACATCGCTTTTGAAAAATGTAACTGAATAATGAGAAGCCACAAAACCCAAGTGCTTAGTGAATTCTGATACAGTATAAACAGCAGTTTGTAAAAACTTAGAGGAGGTCGTTGTGTCTGTGGTCATGTTGACCTGTAATCAGTGTTTCAGTGGGCGCGCAAACACAGGGGCGGGCAGGGGCGGAACGGGCAGTGACAAGTAGTTACTTGATAATTGTTTTTTTAACCTTCTATCTGGCAACAAAACTGACACCTTTTTACAAGGAGTCATGTTTGCATAGACCACAATACCTGCAGTCATAATGCAACCAAAAACACAACTCTGATAATGTGCACTGTCCTTGAAGTTGATTGGTCCACACCCGAGACAGCGTCATCTGGTCCAACCCATGTGAGACTAGGCTCTAAGAAAAAAGCTGTCTCGGGTGTGGACCAATCAACTTCAAGGACAGGGCACATTATCAGAGTTGTGTTTTTTGTTTGCATTATGACTGCAGGTATTGTGGTCTATGCAAACATGACTCCTTGTAAAAAGGTGTCAGTTTTGTTGCCAGATAGGAGGGTAAAAAATACAATTATCATATTTTTACTGGCAAATGAGGTTCCAATGAAGTAGTTACTTGTCGGCCATGCGGCGTAGCGTTTTCAAGGAGGCTCTCATCTCCTCCAGAGAGAGTCCAGCGATGAGGCCACAGTCTTCCACGCCGATCTGGTAAATGGCCTCCCCGCGGCCCTCCTGTAACCGCCACTTCATCTGCGTGACGAGGTGCTCGAGGCGATATTGCGAAGGGTTCACCAGCTTCAACTGTTCATCGACGCAGTGTGAAAGAAAAAAATAAAGAAAACAAAAAAATTCAAACACAATGAGCTTACTATAACTTTTTTCTTTAACAACAAGACATTCTTGGCCTGGTGTTGCTATTATCCCAAGGATGCAGCTCTGAAGCAATAGGGGATCCATTTATAGATTTCTCCACTGATGTCTAACGAGCCTCTTTCTTCCCATCAAGCAGCCACGCATCAAGTGACTGCAGATTGTGAAAGTGATGGCTCCAAATCTTACATAGGAGTGTTAATAGATTAAATCTGTGTACTTAGGTGGGAAGACAAAGTCGAGGCCCTATATTTTCTCCATATTATTTTAGTAGGGTATCTATAAATGGATTTTCCTGTGCTTTGCTCTGTTCCAGTGGTTGGGTCTAGAAGCCTCTGATGAGCAATCATGTACATTTGCTCACGAAAGCTGACTTGTTGATCTGTCTGGGTAATAAGATGTTATATGGCTTGCATAAGGTAATGCAAGAGTCTTAACATGCACACGAATGACAGCATGCCTGAATCTCTTGGACCCAGGCACATTAGGGCTAAATAATACATTAATTGGCGTGAAATACTTTATTCTTTGCTTAAGTTCCTTTGAGTTACTATTTAAAATGCATCACTATGATATCCAGATGGGATGCAGTAATTGTATGCATTTTAACCAGGCTGTACATGAGAAAGTCATACATGTTCAAGTATCACGACTTAAACTTAAATTGACAACAACAAAACACAATCGCACATTTACTCTGTGGAATTGATAAACTATTCCCATAACATCAAGAATCGCCTGATGTAATAATAGGTAGAAGCCGTATTAACGAAGGGCATCGGTTTACACGGGAGAGGCAGGGGCCATTTATTTACCCCTCTCCTCTCAGATTACAAGTTCCCTGCTGGGAAACTAGGCACCGGTATTAGTCCAGTTTCCAGTGTGACCACTGAATGTGTCCATCCAGCAATTTATCCCAAACATCATCATCAGCCACGACCTAGCCACTGCTGGATGAAGGTCTCCATATGCCATCACAATCACACATGGTCACGATGATGCCACCGTTCATCTCACTCCTGCACATGAGCTGGTCATCCTTTAGCTGCCATTCTGTCACGAGCCTCGTCCATTATCCATAATTTATTCTAGCGATGTCCTGTCACAGCCCTACTTTACTTAACACTCAATATTTTGTAGTTGTTGCGTTTGTTGTCTATATTCCTATGCTCCTCTTTTTTGCCTTTCGGTGTAATTCCAATCGTGCATCTAAAAATAGCTGTCTTATTATAACAGCAAGAAGCCACGCATTAAGTGTTGGCAGCACATACAGAAATTTCATCTCATTCACCTACCGTGCGTGGCTGAATCCCATGATATAATTCCAATTGATCTATTGAAACCACAATTACATAAGGCTAACTGTAAATTACTGTTAGCAAAGAATGCATGACGATATGAAGGAATGTACTGTATTTCACCAGTCAATGCTCTTTTCAAAATATATCAGATTTAATTAAATGTTACCACCTAAAGATAATATTAGGCGAAGTCCTGGCACCATGGTTCACACGCTGCAACGTGAACCTGGAAACCCGATTTTTATTCATGGCCACGGCTAATATCATATCTGAACTGGGCCTGGATCCTCCAGCTCACACAACTAAGTGTGTGAGCCAGCACAAAAGTGTTTTATCAGTACGATATGACATTTCAAAATGGTCAAAATATAGCAAAAGTTACTTTGTAACATTGGTAGAGTTAAGATAACTTTAGAGCCTGCCTAAAAACACATTTCATAATACCAACGCGGTACTGTCTATATAATAAATATTAAGCAACTTAAGATAACAATGTTATTTATCACGTATACCAGAGTTCAATTTACCATCTAAAATAGCACACGACGGGAAAATCATTTATTTAAGCGACTTGAGTTTCAAGAATTATCAGGAGCGTCCTAAAAATGGGATGTGTTCAATTTCGTTTAACTGTAGTATCAATAAACAATCATACAATTAAGGTGAGATTGCATTTTCAATTACCATACTCTACAATGGGGAAAGCTTAACAATAAAGTAGTTGTCAACGAAGTTCCGACGGACACAATCCACTCGGTCACAAGAGAAACAACAGGCCCGTGATACATCTTTCCGTATTGTTAAATAACAATAATAATGCTTAACCCCTTTGTCAATTCACTGCTTGACGACGGCTGCCTCTGCATGCCACGTCAGTCGTGTGCGGTGTTGTTTGACCATACGCTGGTCATTAAAGAGGCGATAAGGAAGCTGAATACATCACTCGCCACTGACGTTAGCCACGGGCTAGGGAATTGAACTCAGGTCGCCAGGTTCAAGAGCACAGTGTGCTAACAACCACTGCTATCTATTCCATGTTAACCGATCGGAATAGATACACACCCTTTGTATTTTTAGAAGACTTCTCCGCCTTCTCCATGGGTTCTGACTGGTTTCCCTGACAGTAACAAACGTAATTTAGTCTTCTCTTCCATGTGACTCGTGTAGTTGTGTTTACAGACGGAAGATGACGTGTACACACCGACCTTACCTTATATTCTATATTCCCCTCTTCGGCCTGGAACAAAGTTAAGAAACTTGTTAATACTCGTCCACGACATAATTTGAACAAATTACACAGAGCAACAGCGATTAGGGAATTAAACAACACTTATAGCAATACGGTGATTGTTAACTACAAACATGGGGCACCATATTGGGCAAACACAACCGTTAGAACATTGTCAGCCGTGGTAAATCCACTGCTGGATTAAGAAATCCCAAAGCCGGCTTCGTCTCTCGAGATCTTGCGATGTGACAATCCACCCCAGCTGATTACATCGCTCCATCTCCTCTACAGACGTACTCTCGTACACAAAAACACCCCATTACGCTAGGTTTAAAACGAACTTCATCTATAGTTCCCCGAGCATACGGACACGTCCGAACACTTATTAAACCAATCTCGCAAGTTTAACTTCTCGTAAAAAAAAAAAAGTTTATTTTATTTACGGACAGCCCCAAACCAACCCACGGTCGCCCTCGGCTCGGCCGGCCACCCCCTCGCCCGAGGCGGCAGCGTTCACTAGGAAAGACCGGTGCGCGCCAGCTTCGCTAGGCCGCGACCTCTACGGCGTTCAGCGTCAGTCCACTGCTGGATGAAAGCCTCCTAAAATCCAGTCGTCGTTGTCTTTAGCAGCATATTACAAATGCCGTAGATGACAACAGCGACTGATTACTATGAATTTGAACGCGCCCACTGCATATTCAGCGTGGAGACAGAGCGATAAAATAAACTCTCGTGCAAACACCGTGTGGACTGTTACATCCAGCAGTGGATAAACCATGCGCCGATGCCGAGCTACAGTACATCATCATCGTCACCACCACCACATGAATTTTCTCTCCAACACATTTTCTCCACGTGACGATGCTCGGTGGCGTGCTGCTGGTGACGATGATGATGATGTTGTTGTTGTTGTTGTTTTGGCGACACACGTCCACACACCTCGGGCGGTAGAAATGGCTGTGGCTGAGGCTGGTGAAGGCTGTGGTTCTGGTTTTGGTTCTGGATCTGATGTGGCCGTGTGCGCTTCTTCTGCTGCTGTTGCTGCTTGCGGGATCGACCTCCGCCTCGCTTGGGTCCGCACGGCGCCCCGGGGCCCGTGAACAGGTCGACCAAGGCGTCCATCTTCTTCCTCCTCGTCCTCCTCCTCCTCCGCCGCTCGTGTCGAGCTCTCGTCTCTCTCTCGTCTCTCAACGAAGCCTCGACGCCTTGCCCTTGCGAGTGTCCTCTTCCATGAGACGCAACTAAACTACAACAACAACAATCGCGGCGACGCGGAGAAGTCGCTGCCGCCGCTGCTGCTGCTGCGTATTCGCTCTGCGCGCATCTCCAGACACGAAGTCGTCACCACTGCGCCTCGCTCAGCGCCGCGAGTGGCGGTGGTGACAGCAGCCCCGCCCCCCCAGCCCCCCCCCCCCCAGTGCCCCCCCCCAGTACCCCCACCCCAGTGGCCCCCCAGTGCCCCCCCCCCGTGTCCCCCCCCCCCAGTGTCCCCCCCGCGCCAGCCACCCCCCGCCCCCCCGCCCAACCCCCCCACCCAGTGCCCCCCAGCCCCCCCAGTGCCCCCCCCCGCCCCCCCCATTGCCCCTCCCCCGCCCCCCAGTGTCCCCCCCGCGCCAGCCACACCCCGCCCCCCCGCCCAACCCCCCCACCCAGTGCCCCCCCGCCCCCCCAGTGCCCCCCCCCGCCCCCCATTGCCCCCCCCGCCCCCCCATTGCCCCCCCCCGCCCCCCCATTGCCCCTCCCCCGCCTCCCCCATTGCCCCTCCCCCGCCTCCCCCATTGCCCCCCAGCCCTCCCAGTGACCCCCCCACCCCCCCAGTGTTGATATCGCGGGTCCCCTGGTGTCCATCAGCAGTACTTTGTGAGGGAAAAAAAATAGTTTATAAAATAAAAAATAATTTGAAAATATTTACGCGATCTAACCCCCCCCCCACCCCACCTATATTATGGATAATATTGGTCGCGAAAGCCTACGTGTTAAACCATAACAATAGGTGTTTATCTTTTCTGGCAGTAGTAAAACTGGAGGTTGCTGCTATAAGATGTTCAAACACCAAATAGTAACCCTTAATATATAAATGTGTCGTTAAAACCCGCCACCACCCGACACAACCAACTAGTAAAGGTTGTCACGTAAACAGAACGTGTCACTAGAACGTGTATAGTGTAGTGTATAGTGTAGTATACTAGTACAGCACTAGTGTGTAGTGTATAGTGTAGTGTACTAGTACAGCACTAGTGTGTAGTGTATAGTGTAGTGTACTAGTACAGCACTAGTGTATAGTGTAGTATACTAGTACAGCACTAGTGTGTAGTGTATAGTGTAGTGTACTAGTACAGCACTAGTGTATAGTGTAGTGTACTAGTACAGCACTAGTGTATAGTGTAATATACTAGTACAGCACTAGTGTATAGTGTAATATACTAGTACAGCACTAGTGTATAGTGTAGTGTACTAGTACAGCACTAGTGTATAGTGTAATATACTAGTACAGCACTAGTGTATAGTGTAATATACTAGTACAGCACTAGTGTATAGTGTAGTTAACTAGTACAGCACTAGTGTATAGTGTAGTGTATAGTGTAGTGTACTAGTACAGCACTAGTGTATAGTAGTGTATAGTGTAGTATACTAGTACAGCACTAGTGTGTAGTGTATAGTGTAGTGTACTAGTACAGCACTAGTGTATAGTGTAGTGTATAGTGTAGTGTACTAGTACAGCACTAGTGTATAGTGTAGTGTATAGTGAGTATACTAGTTCAGCACTAGTGTATAGTAGTAGTGTGTAGTGTATAGTGTACTAGTACAGCACTAGTGTATAGTGTAGTGTATAGTGTAGTGTACTAGTACAGCACTAGTGTATAGTGTAGTGTATAGTGTAATATACTAGTACACCACTAGTGTATAGTGTATAGTGTAGTGTACTAGTACAGCACTAGTGTATAGTGTAGTGTACTAGTACAGCACTAGTGTATAGTGTAGTATACTAGTACAGCACTAGTGTGTAGTGTATAGTGTAGTGTACTAGTACAGCACTAGTGTATAGTGTAGTGTATAGTGTAATATACTAGTACAGCACTAGTGTATAGTGTAGTGTATAGTGTAGTATACTAGTACAGCACTAGTGTATAGTGTAGTGTATAGTGTAGTGTACTAGTACAGCACTAGTGTATAGTAGTGTATAGTGTAGTGTACTAGTACAGCACTAGTGTATAGTAGTAGTGTGTAGTGTACTAGTACAGCACTAGTGTGTAGTGTATAGTGTAGTGTACTAGTACAGCACTAGTGTATAGTGTAATATACTAGTACAGCACTAGTGTATAGTGTAGTGTATAGTGTAGTATACTAGTACAGCACTAGTGTATAGTGTAGTGTATAGTGTAGTGTACTAGTACAGCACTAGTGTATAGTAGTGTATAGTGTAGTATACTAGTACAGCACTAGTGTATAGTAGTAGTGTGTAGTGTACTAGTACAGCACTAGTGTATAGTAGTGTATAGTGTAGTATACTAGTACAGCACTAGTGTCTAGTGTATAGTGTAGTGTACTAGTACAGCACTAATGTATAGTGTAGTGTATAGTGTAGTGTATAGTGTAGTGTACTAGTACAGCACTAGTGTATAGTGCAGTGTATAGTGTAGTGTACTAGTACAGCACTAGTGTATAGTGTAGTGTATAGTGAGTATACTAGTTCAGCACTAGTGTATAGTAGTAGTGTGTAGTGTATAGTGTACTAGTACAGAACTAGTGTATAGTGTAGTGTATAGTGTAGTGTACTAGTACAGCACTAGTGTATAGTAGTAGTGTGTAGTGTATAGTGTAGTGTACTAGTACAGCACTAGTGTATAGTGTAGTGTACTAGTACAGCACTAGTGTATAGTGTAGTGTATAGTGTAGTGTACTAGTACAGCACACCGGTGTGTTGGAGAGCCAAGCCACAACATTTAGAGTTCGACGTTTCGCCAGTAATTACAACTAACAGCTAATGGAATATATTGGCCATTGGAGTAAACTTATCGGAATATTTGGTGTTGACAATTGAGATAATTAGTGTCCACTCTTGAATCAACATCTCTCTCAGCTGTCTAAGTAAAAGTGTTACATCCGAATCATCTTTTGCTGCTCGAATACCCCATGGTGTTTCCTCACTGGACTTAATGCTACGGCAGAGTTTAAATTTTGTAACGTTTTGACCAAGAATTGGCTCATAGAATAAACTGCGCATCATATTTCCCGAGGCTATGCTAAACGGTAATTTTGGAACGTATTTTTTAAAAGTAAAGCTGAAAGAGCGCGGTACATAGCTTGCATAATACAATATTATAATATTAATTATAAATGTATATGTCACGTGACAGTCGAAATGTAAGCACCCCAATTTAGCTCCGAAGGACAGCCACAGGGTTAAAATTATCCACATCGTTTATCAATCTAGATTTGAAGTTTTCGTTACTACAGAGATCCATACTCTTTGATTCTTTCGGTAAAGTCACGTAGGTATAAAATAAATTAAATGTATTTTATTTACACCGTCACATGACTCGGCTGAGAATCTGATGCAAGGCGGAGAAACGAGAGCTTGATGCAATGCTTGCACGAGTCACAGGAAAGCACCCCCCGCCTAGGAGCTATAGAGAATATAAACTGCACAGAGTAAACTTGGCAATCCCACAGCAACACAAAAATAAACAAATAAAGGATTGACGTCACTGCGCCCAGGGCATAGGAACGATACAGACACACACCTTTTGACACTTTTAGAAATAACCCTCTAAACAAAAGGCACGCGGACTCTCTTTCAGCAGGTGATGGAACACCACAATGTAAATATAGTATCAGAGATAAGGCTTCACTTTGAAATGTGGGTTTACTGTTATTTCAGGATTAGTGTATTTTGTTAACAGTTCTAAAGGTGTAATGACTTTTCTTTCCCACTATGAAACAAGAATGATGCCAAGACCAGAAATGATGGAAAAATTACTGATTTACAAAGAACACTATTTCATTAAAATTCAAACATGACAATGAGGTAGCCAGGTGGGTCAGACGTCAGACACCAATTGTAGTAAGTTGTTGGTTTCAGCCTGGTCACCAGTAACTGCACACATTTCTTTTGAATGACACATTCGTTTTTCACTTGGCTTGGTTAATATCCAAGATAATTAAATATACTGAATATATACACACGAACATTTCACCATATTGCAGCATGTGGGAATGTGGGCTCCTGGTGTGGCTAAAATGAAGAAGGGATCTCGGTAGTAGTTCCTTCACATCTCCCTCCACGGGTCATGCTCCAACATGTCGACATGGTGGGGGTCACACTGCTCTGAGAGTTGCGAATGGATGTCCCTTCGTCTCAGAACACGATGCTCACAGTGACATTGGAACAAAATAGCGAGCACAAAAATGTAAGAAATATCCCGACACGAATAATACAAATGTCATGAGTATGAACACACACAGACAGAAAGTTACTTAAAAACATTTATTTTAGTAACACAAGACTACAGATAATGTACATCACGGACAACATTCGTGTTTAAGATGCTAGGTTTTTCTGCATTCGTGGCAAAGGCCAGAGGCCCGGGCATCTCGGCCATCTGGCGAACAGCCCGACAGCAAGCTCGCTCTCGTTACTCGGTCCAGCGGTGTCCGCAGTGTGGTGCAGTGCACACGTAGTACAGCCTCATGGCGTCCTGAGTGACAAGAGATCATAGATGGCACGTGTCGAAAGGCAACAAAGACAAACCAATTACAAGACGTTCTGTAAATGGTGAGGCATTAGGCAGAAACAAGAGTACTAATAATATGACTACTACTATTACACTGTGCTTACTTTGGGGTTTTTTTCTGTGCAGAAACATCGCTCGGTGAAAAGTTACGCGTTAAACTGGAATGCCGTGCGTAATTCAGTATGCATCCTTTTCTGGAGCGCTGGTTGTGCCCGATGGCAGAGATGGAAACATGTCTCACGTTTCATATGCCTACATTCTATTGTGGCACACTTTACACCATGGCAACTGCTGTTACATAGGACATTACGCCACAGGCTGTCGCCTCAAGGTCCAATTTGCTAGATGTTCCATCCACCCAAGTGTTGCTAAACAGGCACTCAAACGTTAACGGAACATTGCACTGCCAAATCGCCGGGTTACATGTTTTTTTTTTAAGATGAAAAAACACTGCATTGTAAGCTAAAATATTAACGCGATTTAGACAAATGAAAACAAGTTTGGTGAGGCTCTCTCTATTTATATAACCATAAACATGCCCTCTGCAGCTCGCTTTTAATAGCCTAAGTAAGCACGTGGTGTGGGATTGCAGTATTTGGGTGTGCAGATAAGGTATGCGTTTGAGTGAGGCTGGAGGTAAAACAAACAACTTGGGACTTATTTTCCTCTGAAATTAATTAGTTAACTCATCCGTTGTACAGCTCTTCGCTGTGCTTTCTGACTGTACAAAGAGGTAAAAGCCAAAAACACATTTAAGAGTTTACATCTCAATTATCAGGAGTCAGATTATTCGGGATGCAGATTAAATCATGCTTGCAAAACAATATTTTTTTTAAATTTTGGATTGCATGCTCATTGGTACCTTTAACACGCCGATTCTATTATCGGCTGCTCTTTAAAGAAATAAAAAAACTACACAATTGTATGTCTTGACTCCCATTCAACAGGGGTAAACAACACGTTTGTATAGTCGAATTTACATACGTTTTGTATTACCTGTGTTTTCATTCTATCTGGGCCATCCCTCCCCCACCAATCACCCCAGATAATCATGCTTCCTGTACACGTTTTAACAAGCTGGCTAACAAATCCATTCAGGGAGCCTCCTGTTTATGAGGAAATTTGACCTCGGGAAGAAATGTGTGCGCACAGGAAATATTAACACGTGAGGTGCACATTGGTTATAGGCAAGTGTGTACATTCTGATGCATGCTAATCATGCTGGTATTCAGAACATAACTTTTCTTCATGCAATGCAATTTTACTCGTAATTTTTTGCAATTAAAATAAAAAACTTTACAGATTTGTCCTTTGGTATTGGTAAGCTGTGCGGTTAACGTCGTTGGGATCGGTTTATGAGTTTTGTCCTCATATGGACAGACATACAAGTATGTTCTGGGCCACAAGAAATGGTGGCTTACTGAGGCCCTCATCCAGCAGTGGATTGACTTTGGCTGATGATAATGTTTTTGGGCACAGCAATGAGTAACCTTGTGGACTAATACAAGTATTGGCTCACCTCCGCCCTTGCGCTGTGCGACTGGAAAAACACGGCTTCTTTGTGGCCACATCTGTGGGGGCAGAATTAAACAAACAGCGTCTCCAGGTACCACGTCAACGACAGTTAACAAAGTCATTGCCAATTCCAATTTTGTTTTTATTTCACGTCATTCTAGTCACCTATTTTTTGTGGATAAACATAAATACTGACTTCATATGTTGTCAAATAAACACAATTAGGATGCCACCCATCCAATCATGGTTATAATCAGGACTCTGCTCTAAAGATAATGCCCTTATCACAGTACATGTCACCAGTAGTGACTTTGAAAGTGACACAAATCCAGGAAGTTACTAAACTTATTTTCATTCGAATAAGCTGAGGGGTGGGGTGCACTGATAACGCAGTGGTACTCTGAACTGCTCGAGTTACATTCCTGGCCACGGCTAACACACCAGTGGCGAGTGATAGTAGAATCGTTCCCCACTTAGGCAACCAGAGCCGGCCAGCGTTAAGTATGGTTAAATAACTCTCACAATCCACAAGGTGTGAAAGTTATTTCTTCTACGTCTCAAAAGAACTCAGTGGATGAATAACACTTTGGAACACGATTTTTGTTCCTGGGTAGTAAGTGTTATTTTCTAATTGCTTATGCCTCACAAGTATATAAAATGGCTATTACCCACAAACTTTGCTTCTGTGACCAGGACTTTACGCGAAGGAATGACACAAATGCACACGTTTTCTCACTGAAAAATAGATACATTTCAAAATATCACTGTCCTGGTCACAAAAGCAAAGTTTGTGGGTAATAATAGCCATTTTCTGTACTTTTGAGGCATAAGCAATTAGGAAATAACACTTACTACCCAGAAGAAAAAAAACATTTTGTTACACAGTGTATTTTATGCTGCTCACTTTGGACATGGGTGGTCTTCTGTACGGGGCAGTGTAGGATCCTGGGCCACGTCGGCAATGATCTGAGTCAGCTCGCTGGCAAACGAGAGAGGGGCGGAGGGCATCGAAGACAAAAAACATCGACACAAGTCTCAAGCGCTCTTTAATGTAACGACCATAAATGGTGAAAGACAGTTCAGGATGGTGTGGGATTGTGACAGTCTTGGATTCAAGGTTGGGACACGCAAGGCTCAGGAAGGGAGCCTTTAGGCCAAGTTCAAGTGTCAAGGTCAGTCAAAGCTGAAAGCCCGGCATTTAATTTTTGCCCAACATTTGACTTACAATAAAAATTAGCAATAATTAACTATTTAGAAACTTTATGAAAATTACCGCGATGAAGAATTACGCATTACAAGTTCTCTGACTGAGGGCGCCTCTGGTCACACGCCCGTGGCCAAGGTCAAGGAGAGATTGTCCTTGAGGCTGAGGACTGGTCTCGAAGCCACCTCTATGTTGGATCATCTTTCCAAGTTATCCTGACCCCATGTTGCAGACAGGAAGACAGACTCACTCGACTTCGTGGGTGATCTTGTTGACGTAGATGCAGCTGTTGTCAGCTTCCTGCTGGTAGTCACAGTTCCTGCACTGAGCACAAACAAAAAGAGACCTCCACTCACAACCACACCGCTTACAAACACAAACATCGTGTCAGCTGAACAACTGTAATCAGTGGCGTCACTTCTTTTGTCAAACACCGCTGATGTGAATTGAGAGGGTGTCCTGGAAAAAGCTGATAACCAAAAATATATATTTTCAGTTTTGATTAACTGCCAGGGCTAACATCAGTGGTTAGCGATATGTGAACAAGTCTTGAGCCACCCATCGCCAATCCGTATATTTACTAATTCGTGTGAAGCAAGTTATAAAACCCCCATGACCAACACAGCGGGAGGAGATCTTCATCCAGAAATATAATGACAATGGGCCACATAATTACTTTCTCAATTGACAGCAGTCCTGAGTGTATTACCACTGCATACAAAATTACATATTATCTGAAAATGTCTGTAGCATTTAGTGTCAACAATATCAAAGCACAATTCTACGACATGATTCTATTAACTGCATGTCCTAAACCTAACAATATAACCTGTGGTTGGAATTTTTAAAGTGTCAAACAGTCCAGGTAAAAGTCTTTCTGACAGAAATCAGTGTTTTGCTATAAAGCCACCAAATTTGTGGGCTGGGGGGCAGGTGGACACGTGGTGAGCTGGCAGCCCCCTCCTCCGATTCAGCCCTGCCCACTTTTACTGAGCCCACTCAAACACTCGCCCGTTCCAGCAGTGGCCACGCTTTTCTTTTCTGAGCTTGGCCCTGCCGACTGCTGCTCATAGGCCCCCACCCAAAGATAGGCCCATTTGTTTGCCTATGTCGTGAGTCGAACACGATTGCAAGCATTTTTTTTTTACCGTGACCAAATGTTCTTGGTTCTTTCGGTAAAGTCACGTAGAAGGGAAATAATAAAATAATAAAATAAATGTCTTTTCGACAGACCTGTTCTTCACCTGAGGACGGCTGCTTGCGTTGTGGCCGAAACGTCGTGATAATTATTTTATTATGTTTTATTTGTATTATTTCCCTTCTACGTGACTTTACCGAAAGAACCAGGAAGATGAATCCCTGCAGTCACGAAAGCTTTCAATCGAAACGTGACCAAATGCTTTCGGGCTCCAGGAGAGCCTCTGTGAAACCACTTGTGCTGTCCCAGCCCAAACCATAACACTTAGTGGCTTTACTTTTTTTGATACCAGGAGAAATGCGTTTGTTTCAGTCTTAAAATAAGCAGCACTTGCAGAGCAATATCTAATTCTTAGGTTTTTTCGGTAAAGTCACGTAGGTAAAAAAATTACATTAATAAAAGTAAAATAAAAATAAAATAAAAATCACGACGTTTTGGAGGCAACACAAGCTTCCGTCTTCAGGTGGAACCGTTCCACCTGCCTCCGAAACGTCATGATTTTTATTTTATTTTACTTTTATTAACTTAAATTTTTTACCTACGTGACTCTACCGAAAAAAACCTAAGAATATGAATCCTTGCAGTCACGAAAGCTTCAAATCTAGAAGCAATATCTAACTTACAGAGTAGAGGAGAATCCTGTTCTCCTTATCCTCCTTCGGGTAAAGCATGTTGTTGCTGAAACGGAATAAGACACGTTGTTCCCATGTTATTACTGCGGCACCTGTAAACACCTCCTGCATGAGTTGACATGGTTAATTGTAGAGTATTATAAGAAGAGAACATGCTTTGTTGTATCAACAACATGTGAGTAAATACTATGTAAGTAAACCTGCCCATTGGATTTCTAAACCAGTTTCAACATTTTGGGTCTCAAAAGCAGTCAGGCTTGCTAAATAAATGCTGGTGGGTTGAAATGTTATTGTAAAAAGCACGAAAACTGACAGGCTGATGTACCAAAATAAATACTGCTTCTACTCGTGTGGAGCCAGAATGGAGTTCTGTTAATATATTAAACACATTACGCTCAACGGTTGAGCCTAATGAGTTTGTTATTTAAACCAGCGTTTAACCAAACCCTAAAACCTATCCAATAATGCCTCAGTGAGTCTTAAGACTTTATTAACGAGGGTTCCTACATTGGCACGTTTGATAGATTCCTTGTGAAGAGTTGTTAACAGCTATGATCAACCCACTGTTGGATGAAGGCCTCACCAACAATGACAACCTATTTGCTTCAGTGATTGTTGCAATACGCCACAATTCATAAGCGTTCATTCCATTTGCTCCATAGCACGTCAGTGGACATGTCCATACCTGTCAAACCCTGATCAGTGCCTACATTATTGCCATACCAAGTCAGCTGTCACTCCGTTCCAATATACATCTCAAAAGTTCATCCTACAAAGTCCCATCACAAGGAAGAAACACAAACAAATTAAAAAAATGTGCCCGTATTGAAACGGCTGTACTCCGTATGGACATGTAAACTCAATGTCCCTGTACAAGAATAGGGGGTAAACCGCATGGATTGACTGTTTTGCATCTCTCCCCTCTTGTGAGACCATTCCATAACTCGTCTAGTCCATGAGCTCCCGTCTAGAGGACATCATCACATCACACCACCACCAATCACGAAGACGCAGCCAAGAAATGGGCTCACGTGCATGTGAGCCAAGTAAACTGTGGCAGATGACGACCGCGAGAGATGGTAAACGGCTTCATAGAGCAGTGGATATATCATGACGATGAATGTATTACTGAATCTGATGTTGATACATAGCTGTCAAAACCATACGGTTTTCCCCGTGTTATTGTACGGGGAAATTGAGTTTTGAGGTCCATATTGGGTACAGCCGTTTCAGTACGGGCAAAAAAACCCCATAATTTGTGTATTTTTAAATCCTTTATATTAAGTTCACTTGCTTGCTTGCGTGCGTGCTTGCTTATGACCGTGCAAATCTTTCGGTCGTTTTTTAACCCACTTCCCGTGATCCAATCGAGCTGACATTTTGCACACAGACTCGTTGTGCGTGACAATAAAATTTCGTGACAATTTTTTTCCAAAATTTTACACTGTTTAGGGAAAATAAATAAATATTTAATTACCAATTGCTTAATGGTGGCAGACAATCATCTGACTCATAGGTGGCAGCCACCTCAAGCCAGAGGACGAGAGGACTCTTGCCGCCACGCATATAAAGGATTTAGAGTGAAAAACTTTGTTTTTACGGGTTAATTTTTCTCCCTTGTAGATTGATCTTTGTATGATGAACGTTTAGATTTATTTAAGGACACGGGGTGGCCAATGAGGTCTGAATTGGTCTGTAATAAGCTGATGGGCACTGATAAGGGATTGACAGGTATGGGATCGTCAGATGGTAAATGGCTTATAGGAGGCTTTCATAGAGCTGTGGATAGATCATGACGATGGCTGTAGTATAAATGTGATGTTGACAGGGCACGGAAACACATTACCAACTTCCTTGTACCGAATGAAATAGTAATACATTAGTTAGAATTGCTACTACCGATAGGAACGGTTACTCCGTCTACTAGAATGTATACTGCTGATTGTAATCGTAGAATGTTCTAGAAAGTGTTCCGTTATAGCTTCTCAAACATTTATTCAGCGATGCGTTTTTTTACCTGTTGCTTATGAAACTAGTCTCCAATTAACCCTCGCCAGGCTGAATAAAGGGGAAATCGCCTGGTCACGGTCAATTGGATATTGTCCTTCATGCAACAAAGAATTTGTGCAGTGCCAATCTCCTGTTAACAACCACTCAACGATGGAAACTCCACGTTAATATGACGGAGTGGAGTATATCCACAGCACCACCAACACTGCTGACTTCCCACAAAGTGGTATAGTATGTTTTATTCGCCACGGGAAGTGACATTAACTGACCAAAGAAAATCAACTCAACACATTCGGCAATAGCTGTGTTGGTGGCCGATACAAAGGAAACCACACAGTAGGCTACGTTTAAAGCAATGGCTCTTCACAGCACAACATATACATACTCACCACTCCTGACAAAACTTAATTCCGACAAAGCCGGGTCCTTCGCTGACTGCTTCGCCAAACTCCATGTTTCGATTGGCAACAGTTACAACAACAATATAAATAATTATGAACAATAATAATGACAACAAGGCCGCGTTAACGAGAGTACGACCGTGCAGATGCTGTCAAACACGTGCGTCACCGCGCACTGACTGACCCCGGAAGTGACGTTGCGTGCACTAATGTAACAACATTTTTTGTTTTTTACAGAAGTAATTAATTTTAACGAAGATACGAGTACAGTGTTTGCCGCAGTGAAATAGATGTAGCAACAACAAATATGGATGTAAAGAGCGTGTGTGTGTACTCTTAGGATTTTTCGGTAAAGTGACGTAGGTAAAATAATAATAAAATAAAATAATAATAAATGAAAATAGCGAAATTTTATTTCATTTAGTAATTTTCATTTATTATTATTTTATTTTATTGTTATTATTTTTTTACCTACGTGACTTTACCGAAAAAAACCTAAGAGTACACACACGCTATTTACATCCATATTTGTTGTTGTTACATCTATTTAATTTAGTTATATTCATTTATTATTATTTTACTTTATTATTATAATTTTAATTATTTTATACCTACGTGACTTTACCGAAAAAAAAATGATATTAATCCTTGCAGTCACGAAAGCTTCAAATCTAGCGTGTGTGTGTTTATCTCCAAATTCATTTCCGCTTCCTGGGGTCACTCTCGCGCCCACGTGGTTCGCACGTGGGGTCACTAACCACGTGCTTAACGGCGGCGTCGGCTGCTGCTGGTGGTGGTGGTGTGAGTCGTCAACGTGAATTACAATCAGCGTTGGTAAATAAATGACAACACATCGCAAACATGCGGTCAAGACGTACGGTTTACCCCGTGTTATTGTACGGGGAAATTTAGTTTTCAGGTCCATATGGAGTACAGCCGTTTCAATGCGAGCACAAACATGTTTTTGTCTATTTGTTTGTGTTTCTCCCTTGTGATGGTACTTTGTAAGATGAACGTTGATATTTCTAAGGGCACGTGGTGACCAATAAGGTCTGAATTGGTCTGTAATAAGCTAGGCAGCGCTGATAAGGGGTTAACAGGCATGTATGCATCCACATATCGAGCAAGCAGCATCAGCATGCAAGATTACAAACAGCACAAGTAACATCATTGACACAGACGATCAAAATTAATAGATAAAACCGCTTTTGTTGAGTAACATAAATGTGTGTCTATTCGTCTGTGTGTCTCCTCTTGTGATGGCACTTTGTAGTATAAACGTTGATATTTACAACAACAAACGAGCGGCACTTTGACCAACAATCGTGATGTGAAATCTTGCAGGCGATCGATTAAGGCTGCTTGAAAGCGGGTTAGTTATAAAGGAGCCCAGGTAAAGTTGGCTGTGTCTTGGGGGCGATGGTGGTGCACAACGCGGGCGTTGAATGTGCTGCTTGGGGGACACGTGGCTGGCGGCGTGGGCTCAAACGCTGCCCATCGTGGTGAGGTATGGTCAAATATACTCTTAGGTTTTTTCGTAAAGTCACGCAGGTAAAAATAAATAAAAATTATATTTCTAAGATTCCAAGAACACAGGATGAGATGTTACTATCCTTTGTGCAAGCACTTCCGAGAGTTCATGAACAGTGAAAAGTGCTTGCACAAAGGATAGTAACATCTCATCCTGTTCTTGGTTCTTTCGGTAAAGTCACGTAGAAGGGAAGTAATAAAATAATAAAAATAAAACATAATAAAACAATTCTCAGGACGTTTCGGCCACAAGGCCTGAGGACGGCTGCTTGCGTTGTGGCCGAAACGTCGTGAGAATTGTTTTATTATGTTTTATTTTTATTATTTTATTACTTCCCTTCTACGTGACTTTACCGAAAGAACCAAGAAGATGAATCCCTGCAGTCACGTAAGCTTTAAATCGAAATCTCATCCTGTGTTCTTGGAATCTTAGAAATATAATATTACAAATAAAAATAATAGTTCTATTATTTTTATTACTTATTTTTATTTTTTACCTACGTGACTTTACCGAAAAAAACCTAAGAGTATGAATCCTTGCAGTCACGAAAGCTTCAAATCTAGAATTAGGGGGACTCCCTCATCCCGCAGTGTACTGACATAACAGACTTGTCCGTGCGTCATTATTAATACGATCACTTACAAAATTTCGCTCAGCTTTGCCTAAATTTCGGAGCTGCGCTCACCGCATACAAACTACCGCAACAACCGTGCTAATCGTCTCGACGTACGGTGCGAAAGAAGTTCAGCACACACACTCGTTCATTCTCCATCGTCTTGCATCTCTTCACTCTTGTGCTGTGTCCGTTTACCCCCCTCCCCACCTCCTCTCTCGACCCAGGTTCCCGCTGCCCCATGTCCCTGGAGAGCCTCTTCGCCTCCCCGCCTGCACCCCTCAACAGCGGCAGCGACCCCCCCTCGCTCAGCCCGGCGTCTGTGGCCGGGTAAATGTCGGGGGGGGGGGGGGGAGAATGGGGGGTCAACATTGTGGGCAGCAGAGGGCAGTGAAGCAACATTGACCAGCAGTCACGAAAGCTCCAAATTCAGATTGGCCAGCGTGGTCGTCCGATTAACCCCCACTGCTCATCTTCTTGGTTCTTTCGGTAAAGTCACGTAGAAGGGAAGTAATAAAAAAAAACATGATAAAATATTATTATAATATTTTATTAATAAAACATAATAAAATATTATATTATTTTATTATGTTTTATTTTTATTATTTTATTACTTCCCTTCTACGTGACTTTACCGAAAGAACCAAGAAGATGAATCCCTGCAGTCACAAAAGCTTTAAATCGAAACCCCCACAGCGTCGGCGGGCCCCTTCGTCTAGTAGTGGGTGAACAACAGGGCAGTACGAGGAGAAAGAGGGTCGTGGAGAGATGAAGGTCAGATGGGAAGCGACCAGATGAGTCGAGAAGAGATGAGGATCGGTGATGGGGGGGGGGGCTAGGAGGAACGAGGTGATACGAGTAATAGCTCGGGGTAGACGATGACTAATCTAAAGGGGCGAAAAATGACCATGAGAGGTACAAGCGGTGACGAGGGGAGGACCAGAGGAGGTAAGGAAGAACGAGGAGGAGCGACTAGATTAGAAACACCGCTGTTAAGGAGTACGCACGCGTACATTGCTGATCTTGTTCTTTCGTGTGGCTGCTGATGTAGACGCAGAGCGACAACTAATTTCACGTTCAAGTGGTCAAGCCAGATAACCGCATCGGGAGTAGCGGCGTGTATCGCTGTGTTGTCTCCGTTGTATTTGTGGAACGGGACATTGCGTCGTTATTTGAACCTTATGGCGGTACCCCGGGCTACCATAATACCCCGGCTCACGCACAATGTCCGTGATGCAGTCACTTTTAGTCTGTTGATGGTCGGCGATGCGGCAATCGACTCATCTCGACGAGCTGTACACGATGCACTGTTCAAAGTTGCATTTTTCGACAACGGATTTTGTTATGCTGATGTTTGGCGTTTCTGCATCGCGGAGTGGCACTGTCTTCTTGGTTCTTTCGGTAAAGTCACGTGACTTTACCGAAAGAACCAAGAAGGAGTGGCACTGATTTCGGATTGATTGGTACCCCAGTCGTGGAGTTAAGTAGACCCCTGGAAAAAATAGTCTCCCAGAAATAAAATATTTAATTGCCTCGGCCCATTTTGTATTATGTGGTACCCCGAGGTACCGCCATAAGGATCATTTGTTGTGTGGTCTGTTCTAGATGACCACAATAGAAGACACTGACTGACGCGATTGTTGTAACCGCCTCCGCTGCCTGCCATCCTGGTTGTGTCTGTCAGTGGACCGCTCACGGTGATTAGCGATGTCGGTCGTTCAACTGAGGAGGTGGATGAAGGGGAGGGCGCACTCCGGAGACCCCACGCTGACCTCGCCACCGCAAGGAGCGGCACGGGGAAGCGAAAGAGAATGAAGGAGGCGGCAGCAGCTGCTGTGGTGGTGCACGCCAAGCAACAGCGAACGGTACAGCAGCAGCGGCCGGTCAGCGAAGAGAGGGTGACGTCTCATCACTTCAGCCACAACAACGATTTATATTTATTTAGCATATGTAATTGCATCTCTGGATGCTCTACAAATTGGGTTGGGTGGTTGGTATAGGTTAGATCACTCAGGTTTGTTGACTTCTGGGTGTACCACGTGTATGATCTTTGCCTGGCCACCAATGACTGCACAAAAACGCAAATATTTTATTTCCACAATTTTTCTTATTTCCCCTCTAATCATATCTATTTTTTTCTGTCTAGATTTGTTTTTTTTGTGCCAACGGGGTGGTAATTGTGGTCCATACATTTTCGTGTCATGTGCGCCATCTACGGGGTTTGCAGTCATTTCAAAAGTTTTTTATTCCAAAAGCCTGTCTTCTTTTCTCGCTTTCAGCCATCAGAGTCCGTGCTTGACATCCATACAAAAACACTGATGTCACCATTACCTGTTGGAAATTCCGTCTTTGTTGATAGGTGGATTCTAGTCATTTTCATTACGATGTCAATATCTGCAGGGATTTGCTTTTGCTCTTTTTATCCTTGATGCTTACAAAAAGTAATTGTAATTCTGCTCCAGGTCGAGTCAAACGTTTCCACGAGCCCACGGACGGACGCGCGCTTGGCCCAGCCTTTCGACCTCGTCTCTGCGAGTGGCTTCGGGGTGTTCGAGGTCCCTCTCACTCACATGGTGGGCGACGTGGCCACGGAAGAGCCGCGCCAGCTGGCAGACAGGCACGAGGAGGAGAATAATGACGAGGGTGGTGTCCAGGCTGAGTTCCTAGGAGGGCTGGATCGCAACCGGGAGGCGAAACTCACAGCAGCAGCAGCGATGCTGACTTGTGCCGTCACAAAGGCAGACAAAGGTGATGCCCAAGGACAGCTTTCGGTCTCACTCGCCACTGATATCAGCCATGTTGTTTCTTGAGGTTGTAGTTTGCCGTCTGGTTGGTCAATGACCGACAGAACTTCCCCTTTGATGCAGGGATGACGCGGCGCACCGAGCCGGTGTGCACTCTTCCCCAAGGAGCGAAGAGAGAGGGGAAAGGTCGAGGAGCTATTGGGCGGCTGCTCACTCTCGCCAGTAACGGCGTTGACCCGACAGACCGTCTGGAGGTGTGTACGGTTTTCCCCTAGAATCTTACAAAAATTATTTCATAGTACTTGCAGTTGATATTATACTGTATTTGTTACGGATATAAGCAAATCTGCATAATATAGTGAGCGTCCATTAAAATTTTATGGAATTTCCTGAAATGCGAAATAATTTGAGGTCGTGATGTTTGCGACGCTGTTGCAGAAAGGCGAGCTGCCAGTGAATCGGATGTCGATTCCAGGCGGGGGGAAGAAGGAGGAGGGAGAGGTGGAGTTGATTGAGACAGATTCCTCACCTCTCAATCTCGGCTCACAGGTGATTCTGCTTAGGCGCGTGACCACAGCGCACGCAGAAAATCCGCTGCGTTTACAGAGATTAAAGAAATCTCTTTCTGCAGCTGGCTCGGAGATCGAATCACTGTTCATAACCTGGGTTCGAATCTGGGCTTCACTCACCAGTGATAAAAACAAATACACATCATTACCTTTATTATTATCAGCATAACTGTTACGCATAGGATATGCACAATTAGTCAAAGTCTAGTTTCCAGGAGAGTCCTGGGTGATTACACAAATACATTGGTTTGTGCTCTCCTTTAACTGCCATTCCATGATTATTTTCGACCTCTGGCTATCATCCCTTCTTGCCAAGCCCGCTGACTTTTCTTAATCGTAAATATGATGTCTCTAACTTTCCTATGTTCTCAGATCCATGTCTTCTCCTTCCTGTCTCCGTGCTCTTCAGGGAAAAGTGAACGCTGTTAAGGATCAGCGGAAGGAGGAGGAGGCTCAAGTCTGCGTGCCGCATGCCGCGAGCGGTTTCGGGGTCTTTGAGCTCCCTCTCACTGTCATGGTGGGCGACATCTATGAAGGAAAATCCCACAGACTCTTCGATGGTGGAGGAGAAGGAAGAGGCAAACACGCAGATGAAAACAACAGCGACATCAACAACGATTATGATGGCGGCGGCGGCGGCGGTGGTGGTGATGATGACGACTTCATGCAAGAGCTGTCTCGATACCAGGCAGCGAAATCTGCGGCAGCACAAGCAGTAGCAACAGGTGAGATGCACGTGCCCAAACGTGGACAGCTTCCGCCCCTTAAGGCCATGATACGAGAGGGCAAGGCCCTTCAGATGGCTGCCTGCGGGCCAGATATGGCCAGCGAAGGCTCTTGGAGTGGCCCGTTCAGAGATTTGGCTCGCTGAGACGTAATAAGATGCAGGTTGTTGAGATTAATGAGAGATAAAAAAGAGATAGAGATGGGGACAGCTTTTAGAGAAGAGAGAGACGAGTGAGCTGAGAGATAAATAAGAGTGAGATGAAACACTTGGAGAAAAGAGGGTATAGGTTAGTGGTCACGTACTGGTGTTATGACAAGATGATGCCATGTATCATAACGTCTGTACAGGTGACACTTATGTTAAGACATCACATGACATAAGGTCACGTGGTCCGCCAGCACACGCTAGTTTTATTACGTGACCCGCTAGAAAATATAAGGTACCCTGCAAGAGGGCAATTTTATGGTAATCGTTACGAGCAACTAATTTTTCAGTGAATGACATCCGTCCAGTTAGAGAAAGTGTCCATTGCGATCCACCATCAACGTCACAGGGACCAGCGTGTTGGGAGCCCTCTTCCGATTTGAACTCACTTCGACTGACAACGACGACGTCTATTATAAAGGAGCCGCGTAAAACTAACTGGGAGAGCATCTTCTTGGTTCTTTCGGTAAAGTCACGTAGAAGGGAAATAATAAAATAATAAAAATAAAACATCAAATCATTCTCACGACGTTTCGGCCACAACGCAAGCAGCCGTCCTCAGGTGTCCTCAGGTGAGGAGGGCTGCTTGCGTTGTGGCCGAAACGTCGTGAGAATTATTCAATTATGTTTTATTTTAATTATTTTATTATTTCCCTTCTACGTGACTTTACCGAAAGAACCCAAGAAGATGAATCCCTGCAGTCACGAAAGCTTTAAATCGAAATTTAACTGGGAGAGCGTTGTCGTGAATTTGTCTGCGGTTCCTTTGACGCAGAGGCGTTGGGAAGGTGTCGAGCGTTTGCTGTCGCGACGGCGCCACGCGGGGCGCTCGCGGCGAGAGGAAGGGGCGTGGCTCGTGGGCGCGGTGGGGTCCGTGGCGGCGGGACTTTCGTCCGTCGCGGGGCGGCCGATCCGCAACACGTAAGATCTTTGCGCGGCCGCCCTCCCTTGCACGCATCGCTGAAGGACCAGGCACGAGCCGGAAGGTTGCCAGGCAGTGAGCCGACGCTAATTGCTCTGCAGTTCTCTACATATTGAGATGTTTTCAGCCAATTGGCGAGTGTGCACAAGATACGTGTGAGAGCAAACCGGAGCACCTAGAGAAAACCCATGCATGCGAGGGGGCAGCACTCTTATCCGATACATAAGGGACAGATGATATCACTCCACACTTTGCTGTACTGCATTCTGCTGGCAAGCCAGGGTATTGCATCTCGATGCCCACAGGAAGGGACGTCGCCAGAGGTCGCAAACGGGTTTTCATTCCTTACCCGTACCTGGCCGCACCAGGGTCGCAAATGGGTACCCGTACCCGGCCGGGATAAGTGACAAACGGTTACTCACCAGTGACTCAAGGCCTACCCGTACTCGGCCGCACCAGGGTCGCAAATGGGTACCCGTACCCGGCCGGGATAAGTGACAAACGGTTACTCACCAGTGACTCAAGGCCTACCCGTACTCGGCCGCACCAGGGTCGCAAATGGGTACCCGTACCCGGCCGGGATAAGTGACAAACGGTTACTCACCAGTGACTCAAGGCCTACCCGTACTCGGCCGCACCAGGGTCGCAAACGGTGGGTATCGGGTAGGGTACGGGAATCGGGTACCCGGTTGCGACCTCTGGACGTCGCGCAACATTTTGTCATTTGTGCGGCGATCCACTACTGCCTCCACAGTGCAGGATTACAGGCCATGTGCATAGCGACCACTGCTCAGCGGTCGGCGTTTAGCTCACCTCGCGTAAAGGATGTACATTTAATACCTCTTGTACACATTCCCCTTCCCCCACAAGGTCCATAGGCCCCTGCAAAATAATCCCGCCGAGAAGAAGCAGAAAAAAAAGAACAAAAACAAGAAAGCTTTGCCTCCGAAACCGAAACCGAAATACGCCTGCAAGTTTTACTTGGAAGGACGATGTACCAAGGTATGTCAAATATCCGTCTTTGGCTATTTTTCCCATCTTTATTTAAGCCGTCATCATCAGATATGAACTATCCATTGTTGAATGAAGGCTCCCTCCCCAAGCCGTCGCCATCCCTCAGTCTTGCGATACAATGAATCCAGCTTTCTGTGCGTCAGCTGACCTCGTGGCTCCATCTCCACGGCGGACGTCCTGTTGGGTTGCCGCGAGATAATATACAGCCGAGAGAAATGTAATTAAATGCAATTCATGGTTCTCTGATCTACAAGTATAGCGAGATATTCTTCCTCACATACGTGCCGGTTCTTCGTACCTCATTGGTGGCGACCCCAGTGAAGGAGGTGGTGCTGTGTGTGGTGTGTGCAGGGCGACGAGTGTACGTTCAGCCACGAGGGCATACCGGCCAACAAGAGGGAGATCTGCAAGTTCTACCTCAACAGCTTCTGCTCCAAAGGCTCCAGCTGCCTCTACATGCACAATATCCTTGTCGCTCAGTGGCGATCTCAGTGGCGATCTCAGTGGCTGAAGCGTCGCAGTCGCTGGCATTCCAGTAAGAGGCAGGAAATCGTACGACTAGCGATGCTTCGATGTGGTGTTACCCGCTTAAGTAATTCGGAAGTAGTTTTTTTAATTTGGACTGTGACGCTAGCGCACTTGGCTTACTCTCTGAACGTGAGAGGGTCTCTGTATAAACCTCTGCTGTGAAGCCATCGAGGACGTATTAAAGACGAATGCAAAAAGTTAACCAGGGTGGCTGTTCGGTTTGAACCACGAACCTCTGCATTGAGCGATGAATGCGCTACCTCTCGACCATGATAGGGAAGTGCTGACGTATCGAGGGTGTATGCAAATGACACGTTAACGTTTCATTCAGGCTAATGGAGCAAAAACTTCACAAAGGAGGCGGGCGTGGGGGGGGGGAAATGAGATGATAAAAACGAGACTGAGAAGAATTGATTCTTAAAAACGAATTGCGACCCCGAATCGTGGCGAATCACTACGGGGCGACCGATTAAGTGACCCGTGGGCGTTAGCCACTCCGAAGCGGATGTGCGCAGTGTTAACCAGGGCGGCCGCTCGACTCGAACCACACTCTGTACACAAGCGGCGGACGCGCGACCGCTGGGATGCGCCCGCCGCTGGGTCATATGCCACCGGTCCCCCACGAACCGTGAACCCGCGGCTGCTCCTTGACTTGGCGTGAGGCCCAACGCGACTTCCCTTGCAAGTTCTACCACACGGGCACGACGTGCTACGCCGGGGACCGATGCCGCTTCTCGCACGCGGCCCTCACCGATGAGACCAAGGAGCTCCTGCTGAAGGTGGGCACCAGTGGCATTTGCTATCGGGAGCGCAGGCGGTGCAGCTGCACCCCACAGGCCAGAGGGGCCCAGGGAACCAGGTGCCGGGTTATGAAGAGGGGGTAAGAAATTGGACAGGGGCCCCATTTCATTGCTTGCACCACGACCCTTGCCAACAACCCCTGTCCGCTATATTCGCGACGGTAAAACTGCATTGATTCTTGAATCAACTATGTGACCCCGAGTAATGACGATTGATTCGCTGTGGGCTAATCGTTCAGTAATACTGGTAGGAACCTCCTGGTTACACCAGCCCACAGGGGATTATTTTGTCCGTCTGTCGTGCAGGGAGGGGCTGGGTGGGGAGGGGCTGGGTGGGGAGGGGAGGGTGGGGAGGGGCTGGGTGGGGAGGGTGGGGCTGGGTGGGGGGTGGGAGGGGAGGGGCTGGTCACCCCGTGGTGCCCTTATAAAACTCAACGTTTAACCTACTCACGCCAGCTTGTGCCCGCCCTCATAGTCGGGCATATTTGCGGAATACACCACGCCGCCGTTGATCCTGGCCATTGACCGAGCAACCCAACGTTCCTACCAGCTCCGCAGGAATGTGTTCATCGCATGCTTATGTCTTTGTTTCAATGTGTGATGAACAGTGTCTGAATGGACCCAAGGAGGCCAAAGAGAAGGAAGAGAAAGAAGAGAAGGAAGAGGCTCCTGACAGGTCAGCCCCAGTTTACAATCATTGATAGCTCGGTTTTAGTCATAGGTACTCACCCAGGATCTCGGCAGTGCCAGCTCAGCACTCTTAACCTCTGAGCCACCTCGCCACCTTTTGCCCAAACGTTTGGTTGTGCCGCGTGATGTTAGGCACAGTGTTGTTTGGCATTTCGCCCCGCGATTTGAAGCCCGCAAACATTTGGGGGGCGAAACATTTGGCCATGAACACGAAAACACGTCGGAGAGCTATTGAGCACCACGGCGACAACGTGCTCGGTGTAAAGTATAAGCTCTGTCTGACGGTATACAAGTGCCGAGATGGTATGACACCCCGTTATTTGTCGGATTTGTGCACGACTGTCGCCCGTGATCGGAAATGACAACACCTCGTGATCTCTTCGTTGTTGCTACACGAACCCCGCCGAGAGACGCGTGGCGACTCCGCGCCTTTCAGAAGGCGCGGGGGGGGGGGGCCCTCCTGTCGCGTGGAATTCTCTACCCAACGAACTCAAGAACAAAAACTTTGAGAGACCTTAAAATGAATTTAATGCATACAGCTGACGAGACAGCAGTGCGCATGTGAGATGCTTTGAGCATGATTTTCAGTCTTTTAAATCGCTATTTTACATTACATTTACAGTAAGCTGTGTCACACTCACACAAACTCTCCACGTCCCCTCCAGCCCAAAATTCTATTTCAGCCTTGCGGCTTCGAAGGCCACCGAGGGCGGCAGGGCGCTGGCGCACGGTGGCGACGGCGCAAGTCCTGGCGCCACCGGGCCACAAGCTTCCTCAGGGTTCACCGCTTTACAGCAACAGCAGCCGTCGTCATTGCAGACGGGAATGCCGGGCGCCTGTGAAAATCTCCTGTCGCCGGCAGCACTGGCTGTGCTCCAAGAGCAGCCCGTGGTCATCCCGCCCGAGCCGGTGCACAGCTCGGTCACGTGGGACCCCCGCTTGGTGAGATCCAGCCAGAATTTCTGCCCCGATCCGGATCTGTCCGTGCCAGATTTTGCTCACACGAACTGGGAACCTTCAGGCGGCAACGAGATGGCGAACGAGGCAGGATTTTCCGAGTCGATGGACGCGTTCTCCTCCGCCACTTCGGATCGGGAGAGGCCCTCCATCGTTGAGAGTTTGTTGGACCGCGGCGTCTCATCTTGTGGTCCTTTGGCACATCACGGGGCCGTCCACAACCTGCCCGTTCAGCCGGTGCTCGGTGCGCTGACGAAGACCAAGTACAGCGGGGTGTTCGGCGAACGTCCGCGCCAGATTAAAGCGCCCGCAGTAAAGCATCTGCAGCAGCAGCACGGATTGCTGCTGCAAATCAGTACAGCACAGACTGCTGCTGCTACTTGCACCGTCACAAACGCCACAACCACGGGCACCATCACCAACACCGCCACAACCACTGCAGGGTCACTGGAGGGAGGCTTTGGTGACGGTGGGCGCCAACAAAACCTGGTAGACATGTTTAAATCGTTTGACCCGACATCGTCACCCTTTTGTTAGCAGGAGCCAGATGTCGCAGCTGCTTTGCGTGCATAGTGTAACGATGTTGGTTTTTCTTTGCACTCTCCAAGCTCGTTTTAATCAAAGTTAAATATATCATTAACGTTTAATGTATTTGGTGATCTTGTAAGATGTACACGAGATGAATGTGAAATTAAAATGAAATACTTTAATTTAAAAAAATAGGTTGATTTGCGTTACATTCACATTCCGTACACATTCTGTTGAACAAGAAGCTGCTGCATTGCAAGGTCTTGGTCAGTCACGCCGGCGATCAAATTGACTACGCGTATAACTTTGGGTTCGCTCATTCACTTTTTGCAAGTATTGCACTGTATGAACAGTTTTGATTCGGGTAATAGTTAATATCACAACATTTTGTCTCGCCCACAGCAAGATATACGACAATCGCTGGTTGGCAGACGACGATTTACCGACGGCGGTCAGGTGAATAGAATGAGCCACGAGCAGTCGACGTATTTTATGCTGCAGCCAGTGGTATTTGTGACGAGTTTATTTTTGTTATAAAAAGGTATAATATTCAATCTGTAATATGCATACTTAGGCATCTACAGATTCATTAAAATCGATTGTTAAATCGCAGTAATGCATCAAATCGTAATTGTACTTGTGTAAATAGTAGGCTAATGGAAAGAATAATAATACCTGTACAAGTGAAATGGGTGGGGACTAATTGAAAATCAAAACCAAATTTACATTTTATAAACTTGGACAGCTGACTTGCTGGGGTGGAGGAGGGGGTAGGGGTGGATTGTCACATGCCTTAGAAATATTTAAGGGTCCCTGCTGTGGGGAAAAAAACTGAACCTATAAATGCTCCATTTGTCCAGAAAGTCGGGTTTCGTCATTGAGAGCATGGGGCATTAAGTGAATTGTTAAGTTGATTGTGTGCCCATCTGCAGGGAGGAGATACAATAAAAACATTAAAAGTTGAAAGTGCAGCGATGAAGCCCCATGGCAGGTTATCTCAATTGATTGAAATTAATTTGTTTATCAAGTTTTTCCAGGACACCCCCCTCTCATACATATCCGCGCATGTTACTGATTTGTACATGTGGTTTTATATTAATAGCACGAGTGTTCATTTACAAGAGAAGCGTTTAAGATTAACTTGCACTTTCAGTCTTCAATATCATTTAAAAGTGAAATCTTGTTGATCAAGATATGCCTCCTGCTATTCGGTATGCGTTGCCATCATCTTCAAGTCAACGTCGTTGAGTTTTTTTTTATGACAGCCATGACAGGATATCTGCCCTCAGTATTGACAATTTCAACAGAGAATGTGGTTCATTACTAAACGTTTTGCACCTCTTTGAACGCTTGTGCGTGAGATGGACTACTTGTGACCAGACGTGTACATTTAAGTTGCTTTGACACTTTCCTTCATCATAAACCTCACGTGTGTGGGTGTTCGTGTGTGGGTGTGTGTGGCCGGCCAAAGGCATTTGAAAGTCTTATTTGGCTGTCATTTGGGAAAAGGATCCCACCTCCGCCCCTGGTCTTTAAGAGCTAGCCACATTTGATTCTCAACTATCCAACACAACGACCTCCAAGTCCTCAGGGACCCACAACAGCCGTCTTTGGAGAACTGCCTCTGAAACGACGCAAGGTGTGCGCACGACGTTATCTGCATTCACACGACATCGAAAACACTCCTCGGTAAGACTCGGCCGATATTGAAAAAGTACAGCGACGGACATTCCTGGAGGCTGCGAGTTCTCAACCAGTGCGGTAAGATACAAGCTTGGGAACAAGTGCGCAATTTAACAAATGAAATACGGTCAAGTAAAGCGTCGGCCACCATGCTCGCTGCGGCATACCGATTCGGAATGTGCTTTTAACTGTTGATGGTGTAAGTGCAAACTGCTGTTACTGCTTTGGGTTTAAAAGAACGAAAATAAGCTTTTGTAGCCACCGTCTCCTAGCTTGTCCAACACAAGCTTGAAGCTTGGTGAATATAAAGAAAAATTTCAAAGTTGCACTCGAGTGTGCCGCCAACACGTGACATCACTGCATAGCTGTGACGGTGACATCGGCAGAATGCTCGAGGCTTTTTAAGTGTTTCCTGACCGAGGTGACCACGTTTCATGCACTGATGCAGCTCCGCTGAGATCCTGTGTTCAAATTAGATTCTCCGCTGCCTCTGCTGAAACTGGGATTCTTACGTGTAGTGAGTTAATGGTCTCAACCTGGCCACAACACAAAGGCCTGAACAAAAATATTTATTTTGGTATTACAAGTGACTAAATTCAAGTTGTGAGAATTGTAAATATTGGATTCAGTTATCCTGCAACAAATCTCTGTTTAGCAGGGTGGGTGGAAAAATGCTGCCCCCTAGTGTGAATAAGAGGTCCCTTGAATTTTCAAAAGCAGTTCTGTGGCATCTACGTCTGTGGACCATTTAACACGGCGTGGTGCGCTGCATCACTCGAGTTCCAAGTGGATTCTTCATTTCACGGTGCATCAGCAATAATACAATCGGGATAACATTCAGTATCAAGATGAAGAGAACTGGTATTTTCTAATTTAAATAAAGGACCAACTTCATGTTGGATGGTTCAGGACACAGCCTACACAGGCATTTACAAAATATGCACCATTAGTTGTTTTGGTTTGCATCTTAAGTGCTGATTAGCAGGGTTCAAATCACCAACAACTTTCATACCACGGAAACAAGTCTCAAGTGTTAAAGGACAAGCCAGCTAGTCATAATTCGCATAATCGGTTATATCACCTGAGAATCTAAAAGAGCTTACTAACTTTCATTCAGTGACTTTTAAGTAAGCAATGCTGAACCCTATTAATACAAACACACGTGGAAATAACCTGAGATAAATGCCAAGACATTCAGATTAAATACTCAAACGACAAAATGTAAGCACTCGGCAAAAAAGTGCAGCTTCACTCCAAGTGCAGTGGATAAGTCATCTCAAAATAACGCTCAGGTGAGAAACTAAAGCTCAAACAAATTAACGATACCAGGTCAACTTAATAACCATTCAAACATTTTCATGGGGAACAACTTTTAAACTAAACTTAGTTTTATTTAACCAGGTACGTCCCCATTTGATATAAATTCGGTTTCTAAAATATTTTAAGGGGTCTCTTACAGATACATTTTTCACAGCCGACTGTAATCCAAAGTTTGGTGGCGAAAGCTTTGAGAGAACAATTTCTCAACACAAAGCCCAATGAGGAAACAACACTTGGGTTAGTGGTTATTTATAGTCCATGGGAAGAGCTGAAATCGGCACCAATTAAGGTAGCAAAACTTTAATAGCACCGATTGAGTTATATGGCTAATAAGAGTTAATGTTTTGATAACCCAATCGTATTGAGTGGTTATCACAACATTTACAGTTGCGCCACCTCATGTGGTACCGACAAGTGAAATATTTGGTTTGGACTCATGGACTACTAGCAGGAGAGTCCTCCTGCGATCTGGAGAGGGTGGTTTTGGTGAAAATCTTTGCAGTGGCAGCAGCAGCATGAGATTCCGAACGAGTAAGCGCGATTGAAATAAATTACGGTAGTGAAATTAACGCTGCTCATTGCTGCTTGCCAAGAAGGTGCCTGTGAACACCACTTGACTTTGGCTCTTCACGGGTCCAGTGAGGTTGAACAGCAAGCCCCAAATAACCCTAACTTTCCCTGCAAATAAAGGTTATTTCTCTCTAGCCATCTTCACTTTCTTACCACACCCAGTGCACACCACCACTCTTCTGCCCCATTTCCCTGTTTCACAATGTCCCTGATAGCCTTCGCTGTCATTTAACCCACGGGTCCCCAACCGGACCGGTACCGGTCCGTGGCCTGTTAGGAACCGGGCCACACAGCAGGAAGTGAGCGGTGAGTCCGCGCGTGGCCCGCCCCCATTATTTTATTATTTACCACTTCCATCCGCGCCTCTTTCCCGCACTGCGCGCTTGTCTCAGTCACAGTTTTGGTAAAGCCCACAAGCTAACCCCTAGCCAAAATGAGTAAAAAAACAAACGTCGCTGAAGAGGTTGAGGACCGCTGATTTAACCAACACTGGGGATGCGTTGGACTGTGTCCTGCTCTATAGGTCAACAAAGTAGAGCAGGAAGTACGTGATTGCTGGGTCCTCGAGGTGACGCGGGTGGTGCGTGGTTGAGTTGGGAACCGCTTCAGCTCATCAGCAGTGTGGAACCACCGGACTGAGATGACGCTGATATCAGGTGCTCCAGGTCCTGCTGTACTCTGCGATCCTAGTTTTTGAAAAAAGGATGTTATTAAGGCTGCTCCAGCCTTGATTTAATGGTGTTTAGAAAAGCGAGCGATCATATTGTCCTAATTGGCTGCGCTTACTGCATTGCACAGCACATTATTTATAACAATTTACAGCCCCCCTTCGTTGAATTACCAAGTTAATTCCCAACTAGGATATGAACTAAAAAAACCTTCTGGGAATTGTACACTAACCACACTACCGCCAAACCAACCATTAGCACAACAAATGTGAACATTCAGGGTTGGTTAATAAAGTAAAAATATTCATTTAAAGCCCATTGTTATTGCGCCGCTGGATGAAGGCCTCCTCGGAAAGGGGGTCCAGGACCGGTTGAGATATCACTCCCCACTGATGCTAGCCAGGTTCACAGTGCCACTGCTCTCCCCAAGGATTACTTACACGATATATATTAAGCACACTGCTGTATAACAATTACATTCACACAAGCAGGGGGGTTACCTGGGCAGTCAGAGCGGGCAGCTTCTGAGCAGACGCAGTCCACCTCTGCAGCTCCTCCTGCAGACCTAGTGAAGCGCAACACTGCCGGCGACAGGAGGACAGACAGCAGCGGGGAGGAGGACAAGGAGGAGAGGGAGAAGGAGGAGAGAAAGCGAGCAGCAAGGAGAGGACAAAGTAGGGAGAGGGAATGAGCGAAGAGACGGGAAGAGAGGAATTCCAGTCAGCGGTTACCAGTTTAGTTTGACTTAACATCACAATATTTTATCCTGTGATGTAACCCAGGTCCACTTGGGGAACAAGACCTTCTTTAAATGTCTGGCTTAATGAGTTGCTTCCATCTCTTGGTGAAATAAAGACTGGATTTGATAAGTACATTTCACCACGAAGTAATGCGACTACTCAACACCAGAAAGTGCAGTACAGCTGGCTGAACGTGCGCTCACCTTTACGATGAACACCTGGTTGGCCTTGGAAAAGTTCGGCTGGAGTTCTTCAGCCTGAGGTTCAAAGAGCAATCACAAAAGGCAGGTTGACAGCATGTAAACATGAAACGGTATGACAGTGCTGGTTCATCGAACTCTATCATCAGCAGCAGCAGTCATTACACTGGTCAACACACTTTTTCTGGCATAAGGTATTCCAACGGTTTTAAGGTAATTTTTTATCAGGTTTTTGAGATATCAAATATTGCATTTTCAATAAAAACTGCAGAAGAAAAATATTAAATAAATGTGGATATCTACATAAAATGATATTATAAACACACTATCCTAAAAATACAGCACCATATTTTAACACTAAAGCAGTCACTGACTCGCAACAACTTGCAATCATAAGTGACAGAGTTAATTTCGGGTAAAATCAATGAAAATGGGATATGCCGATAGCATGAAAATGAGATGTGATAGAGCAAATCTGAGATCAGATTTGGAATCAGCACCCTGAAATTCATCTAAAACAGCTGCAGAAGTCCAGACCAGAATAAAATATATTTTTTTGACCAGTGTTATCTATGCACTGCTGGATGAAGGTGTCCCAACGTCATCCCTCCCCCTCATGGTTAAAAATTAAACGTGTGCGAAGATGGAAGCCACATGATGAAGCCTCTGATATACACAAACTCGAACCTTAACCCAGACCTCGACTCTATTCCTGAGATCAGAACATAGACCACCGACTGCAAACATTTGCTTTAGTGATGCACTGGAGTTAGAAGACAAATCGGGTATCATAGTTTTGATATTCCACAACGCAAACATAATGAAATTAAATATCACTCAATACATGTGTACATCCAATTTGTTTTGTACAATTGTATGATCACATACACTGCAGATACATTATAAAAACTGATTGTGAGCTTAACAATCAACTTAAACCAATAAATCGCTCCACTGTTACATGCATACTATTACCATTGATCCAAACGTTGCCCCGATGTGGACAGACCACAGTAAAACAACTCCTAGAGTTTAACGATCATGAAAAAAAACAGCAGACCTTAAGGAAATACTGAAGAGCTTCATTCACAGAGGACGTTGGGTAATTCTTGAAGATGCTGTTGCAAACTCGCCTCTCAATCCACGTCAAGTTGGCCATCTGATGGAAAGAACGGAGACGTTGGCGGAGGGGAAATCGAGCGATAGAGAGAGATGGACAGAATGTTGAAGGGAATTTGAACAATAATCTACACAGGGATGCGATAACAGTCAGGAGCTATACATCAGTACGGTATAAATCATTGCAGACGCTGAAACTGTTAACCATGTGCCTGGAAAACGTGTCGCGCAGGATGCTTGAGCGTTCCTCAATACGCCCACATTAATCGCAGCACACTCAGCTTGTATTTCCACCACTATAGGTAGCGTGGTTTTGAGCTCGCTATGGTTCCTGAATTCTGCTGCACCCAGTACTGTAGTTCAAACTGCAAAGGTCAGTTTGGCTGCAAATGCAAATTGACGGAGACGTAGATCACGCAGGCTTTCAAACACACACGATCAAGCTCACCAAACTGTGAACTCCTCATTTCCATGAACAGCCAAATTAAGTTTACTTAAATGTCCTCGAGCTGGTCCGATTTCCCCCAGAACTTGAGTTTACGGGGCAACTTGGTTTGCTTAAGAAAGCACCGGTGCCTCCCATGTTTTTCCTGAATTGCTTCACCCGCACACAGTCTCACTTGTTCTGCCCTTGCAAGCATCCCCACCAACTCGGCCAATGTTGATCAATGCCGCCGCTGTGTGAACCGTAAGAAATGCTTGCCGGTGCCACCTACTTAATGACGGACGCGAAAGATCCCGTGACGTTATTTGCCAGAGTAGGCCACCGTGTGCCGGCATCATGGTACAAATCGACCGAGAGTTGAAATAAAAATAGACCCGCAAATGAATCAATCGGAATGTACGCAGCAACCATCGCTCCTCCTGCAAAAAACTTGGCAGGACCCTCCTGAACGAGTTATGAGACTCGGTGAGGCTTTCCTGGGTAAACAAGCACAATGTAAAAAAAAAAAACACATTCCTCCTGCGGAGGGAGCTGGTAGGAACGTTGGGTTGCTCGGTCAATGGCCTGCAGGGTCAACGGCGGCGTGGTGTATTCCGCAAATATGCCCGACTGTGAGGGCGGGCACAAGCCGGCGTGAGTAGGTTAAACGTTGAGTTTTATAAGGGCACCACGGGGTGACCAGCCCCTCCCCACCCAGCCCCTCCCCACCCAGCCCCTCCCTGCACGACGGACGGACGGACACAATAATCCCCTGTGGGCTGGTGTAACCAAGAGGTTCCTACCAGTAAGAATTACACTTTTGTTCTCTTATCTGCGATGTGTGCGAGCCCATCACTCACTGCAAAGCCCCAGCGGCCAAGCAGGTGCAGCATTTCGGGGTCCGAGGGGTTGGTGGCCAGAGTCTGCTCCAGGTGCCTCTGGAGTAAGAGCAGCAGAGACAGCAGATAACACAGCCTGTTCTGAATAATGCATTATGGGAAAAAAAATCGTGTTATAATAAATAATATAGGACAAAGCACAGTTCGCGATAATACGTGAGATGCATTTGGAAGCATCCAGCAGCATCCCGCCTTGTGCGATGCTACGCCGAGGCAGCCGCACAACCGCTTACTCCTACTCGTGTGACGTAGTTCCGTTCACTTGATCGCGTTACGTCCAATTCGCATCCCACGTTTACAAAAAATGTGTTCCCTAAAACATTCATCGCGTCATATCCAATTCGCGTTATGAAAACAGACGTTCTAGGAGAGCAGACTGTAATAATAATTTCAACTTGTAACACGCACATGTTCGCTCGCTCTCGAAGAGACAAAACGACTCAGAGGCGGAAGGAACCACAGACAAGCGGGAAAAGGCAGCCAGGCTCTAAGTCGGCACCAAATTCCCCGCAAGCTCAACTACGGTCCTCTATATATAAAGGCGTTATCGGCAAATTAATAATTGTTTGCATGGATGAGGAAATCAGAGCACCCGGAGTAAAGCCACACGTGCGAGGGGACAACACTATTGATGGGGAAGAGGTGAAGACCACATCTGCCGTTCCGCCATCTCTTGACAAGCCAGGGTATGGCTAGCATCAGAGGAGTTTGCTGACTGCACTGGATGAATGATGGACGTCCTGGTATCTCCGCTTTCGATTTAAAGCTTTCGTGACTGCAGGGATTCATCTTCTTGGTTCTTTCGGTAAAGTCACGTATAAGGAAAGTAATAAAATAATAAAAATAAAACATAATAAAATAATAAAATAATTCTCACGTTTCGGCCACAACGCTGCTTGCGTTGTGGCCGAAACGTCGTGAGAATTCTTCTATTATGTTTTATTTTTATATTTTATTACTTCCCTTCTACGTGACTTTACCGAAAGAACCAAGAAGATATCTCCGCTTTCTCGCTTTCGAATCGGACAAGCTCACTGCGTGGCCAATGAGGCCAGATGAGGCATCAACCCAAACTTTGCCTGTGGACAGGGGGCAGACTGTGATGCATATTGTGGAGGAGGATTTTCCTCTGAGCAGACGAGATGGAAGATTGAGAGCACTGAACGCCACAGAAATGATAATGCCGCTGTCGACTTGATCGGCTAAATACGCACAGGCTGAAGAACCGGAGGAAATGGCTCTTCTTGAGAACAAAGAACAACGTTTTGCTGCACACACCTTAACAGAAAAGCTGTCTCTCATCTGGTGCTGAGTCGTCTGTAATTCCCACAGATAGTCCAAGCAAATGATAGCAAACCTGTACACTCAGACGTGGAAAGACAGCCAATAGTATACGTTACATGTTTTATTGCTATAACTGCAGAGCAATAAACCCTGATCTCCTCACCACTCACCTTTGAACCAACAGACATCACGCAGATGCAACCTGTGTCTCACCATTTGCGGCATTCCCTGATGCAACTTCTCCACTTGAGCCCCTTTTCTGCGGACTCTTTGCCTAAATGACATGAACAGCTTTATTGGAAGAGCTTCTGTTTTCTTTTTCCGGAGCTTTAGCAGAGTACTGCAACATGATGTGTTAAAAGGAGACACAGAAGTAGATATCACAGAACTACTTCTAGGATCCCGTCAAGAGACCTCTTATTCACTCCGGGGGTTCTACACTTTCTCATGCACGTTGATATATATATGTCCATCGCATGACAGTCTCAGCAAACTTTTTTTCATTCTATTTATTGACCAGGCTGACACTATCAACTTAAGTACATTTGACAAACCAGGTTAAACACGGGTGGCTGAATCCCAGATTCAAACCCAGGATATCAAGCATACTGGTTCAGTGCTCCGACCCCTGTGCTACCTGGCCACCTCTATCTCATGGGTTGCTTTAAAAACGAGAAGCAGGAAAGTCATCGCGTGCATAACAAAGACACCTCTTGCATAAATTATAGGAAAGTAACACGCTTTTACCGTTTTTTTTTTACTGCAGGGCATTTTCCACACACCACCTACAGAGGACTTCCTTAATAATTCATAAATCGTGTGTGCTCGTGGCTTACCGGTGAGCGCGTGTATCAGCCGCTCAGATTTTTCCTCGGTAATTTCACACATATCCCCGGAGGCACGGGCCATCCGCCACCAAAACGCTCCGCGCCTGGCAAACTGTGGCACGACAAACAGGCATAGTTGTGCTAGGGACACTGATCAATTTCTATACCTTTCCTATATATTTCACTCCTATCGTGTATCGTTGTACTATATTCTTAGGTTTTTTTATTTTATTTTCATTAATTTTGATGTTTTACCTACGTGAATTTACCGAAAAAACCTAAGAATATGATTCCTTGCAGTCACGAAAGCTTCAAATCTAGTATCGTTGTACTGTTTGTTGTTGTAACGTTCTGACCTGCCCCTACTGGACATTTATAGCTCATCGGATTTCTCCAGTATAAATAAATGTACTGATAATGATTCCCCATCACCCCCCCCCCCCCCCCGGCTTCTGAGATTCACAATCCGTCACGATTCACAGTAACGGTTCATTTCAAGAATAAAAAAAATTTCCGCGTGGTACATGAATGTAGAAGCTCGCTTGCAGTGGTGGCCAAGCTACCTGCTTGGCCATTCAGCCGCTCAAACGAATTACTGCATCACTGCATTATGCCAGAAAAGTTTGGAGGATACGAGACACGGTTACCTATTGGCACTTACTTTGGAAATCTTTCCCAGCAACTTCGCATAACCTCGCACAATTCAAGAAAATAATTCGTTCTTATCTGCTATCATTAATGACCATGGTGGCTGGTGGCTATTATTTGATGACTTTTGATAAGAGCACAGCACCAGATTTGGATATAATTACATCATCCGCACCGATCCCCTGCCGGTGCTTTTCTCCGAGCAGGTCAACAAGGCACTCTTATCTTTCCCAGTAAATCCGCATGCAGATTGGACGCTGAAAAAAAAGTGGCTGCCACCAGACTTTGAACGATGTGCGGGCTGTATAATTAAGGTTTGTTGACATCTGTGGGCAGAACTACAGAACAAAAAAATCTGTTTCAACGTCAGCATTGAAATGATGCCCCGCCGCCCGTGTCCATGCTGGGATTGTGTGCCAGTCCCCCACCTTGCGTGCCAGTCCCCCACCTTGTTCTGACCGCAGATGAGAGCATTTAAAGCCTCGTTCCAGCTTCCTGGGCCCGCCGCATGCAGCCTGTCTGCTCGCTGCACCAGCTCCTCAAACTCCTCGTCAAAATACAGCTCCTCCTCCTCCAGCAGTATCATCGCCTGGCCTATGTCAGTCACAGCCATGTGATTAGCATCCTATTAGTAGCATCGCTGAGTTTTATTTCACCGGCATATGGAAAACAGCACGTTAACACGTAATTTTTTTTCAATCCACTGCTAAATGTGGGTTTCCACGCATTGTGCGTGCCGTGTTATTTGATCATACGTCACCTTGACGGTCAGCGCATGCGGGAAGCAAAGGCATGCATAGGCTTGGAAGCATAGGAGTACAGTACAAAAACGGATTAATGCGATGCCTTCTTTGTTTCTTTCCTTTACGAACTCTCACTGACCAGTGTGGTGAAGTATGAGGAGAATCTCCTCCAAAACTGGACCGACAAATGGGCTGCACGTGTACATAGTGGTTGTTATTCGAGCAGATGCTTAACGAGTGAGCACTACCCATTCATACCTGGGCCATCCACTGTGTCACCGAATTCATCTTCTGAATCACTGCTGTTACAGCCAACATGCAGAAATGAAAACAGGCATCAGCAAACACAGGCGCACATTTAAAAAATGCAGGACGGCACTCTCAAAAAGTGTGTACCAATACGAAGTAAATAAGTTAGGACAAATTACGCATATGCATGGATTATGCTTTCCAACACACGTTGGTTTGGAAGCTGACTTGTAGCTGTCAGGGCAAATCCTGTTTGTACTGTATCCAGTATTTGCCAAGACATGTTTGTTCTGTGTTTGTCTCCAAATTTTGGGAAAACTTCTTTTTCGATTGGATAAGTCCCAAATAATAACACAGGTTTACACGACAAATGAATTAATATCGAATCCTTTATACAACAGCTACAGTGCACTCTCGTTATGGACAGATGCACAGATGGACATAACTATAGTAATACACAAACGTGTTCAACCTTAAATGGAAAGTGTAAAAACCGTACCACATTCATCATTGACACTGGGATGATGTTTTACCAACTTTTATGGCAAGGTACTGTAACACAGGACTTATTATCGACTTCTAGGCCACAATGTATGCTTCAGTCAAGTAATGAAAATTAGGTTAAAGTGTGCCATTTGCATTAATGAAATGTGTGTTTTTATAGAATTGAAAGTAAACTTTGTGAAGTAAATGTCTTGCACTTACAAAAATGTAAAATACCGCAAATGGAATATTTCAGTCATCGTTTAATGGTGTGTAAAACAAGTGTCAATAACACACATATCTTTTTTATGTGTTGAAAATTCAACATTCGAACACTAAATAGTCAAGAGTACTGTCAAAACCCACACATTTCTAAAAAGCCATTATAATTTAAAAGGCTGGATATCCAGAAAAGACCAATCAACTTCAAGGACAGTGCACATTATCAGAGTTATGTTCTTTTGTTTGTATTATGACTGCAGGTATTGCGGTCTATGCAAACATGACTCCTTGCAAAAAGGTGTCAGTTTTGTTGCCAGATAGAAGGGTAAAGAACCAATTATCATATCCAGAAAAGATTTAGCAGTTGCTCTGTCATAACTTGTAAAATTTATTTAATATTAAAAGTAACTTTTTTTCTACCATAAAACAGGAAAACAGTTTAATGATATCTGCATGTCCTGTGTTAATGGTGCGTGCGTTCATCCAAGTAATTGTTGCAATTCAGGGTCATGATTTCAGTCAAGAATCAATCTTTTTTCTTTCAACTTTGCAAGTGAATGTCGTGGCAATTAGTGGCTGCATGGTCACATAAACGCATAGGACACAAAACATGAATAAGTAATACATAATTTCCAGCCCTTTGTCAATCCACTTCTGGATGAAGGTCTTCCAAGGACTGTTTAAGATATCACTTGTCAATGATGTTAGCTGCCATGACCCGGAATTTAACTTGGATTGGTGGGTTTCTAGCACAAAGCTCTCACCACTGTACCACCACACCACCCACATATAAAATATGTGCATACATCATGAGCTTAAGAATCAACATTCATTAATGAATCGGTGCATCATTACACCCCGAATACGGTATTGCAGTGAACATGAGCACGATATGTTCTTTACAGATTAGTATTTACACAACGGAGAAATTTATTTTCATAAATATCAATGACCAGTTTAAACATTCACACAGCGTAAATGATGTCTTTGCACAATTTAGCTCATACTCTCTGAATCTTGCAACTTTTATCTACCGACAAATGTTTCACCTACAGTTGCAGAAGTCGTGTTTTAAATATCACAACGTGGTGAAGTATGTCTAAATAAGCCCTGCCAATTGCATGATGTGAAAAAACTCCTCATCCAGCAGTGGATGGGCAAAAGGGCTATACATAATTAAACATTTAACACACATTATCACGTGCATTTCTTTGACCAACACAAATGATACTTAATTTTTTTATGTGCAGTATTCCACTGGGATTTGATTTAAAAACTATGTCTATGACAGCACAGTCACTCCATTGCTATAATTGGTACGAGTGCAACTTAAAAAAATTGGAGGACCAAGCTCCTATTTATAATGCTGAGTTCATAAGCCAGCCACGTTTGACTCAGCCCAGAATGGTCTGCTTATGACCGCATCATCGAGATGCACTCGATTTTGTTAGTTCTCGGAAGCTTAGCAGGTATTTAACCTGGATAATGCTTGGGATAGGTGACCAACATGCTGAAAATAGCATTGAAGGCTGTCGAATGGCTGCACCTTCAATAGCGCTCTCTATTACTCGCCGCTTGGCTTATGGACCTTTGCTCAGCAACGGTGATAAACAAAGCAGAGGGCACTGCAGCAAAATCCAGTGTTGTAGATTACTATGGTACAACAATTAAGCTTCCCCCCAACCTCTATGGTAAAATAAATGATCAAAGAATCCCCCCCCATGCATGACCCGCACAGCATACGGATACTATCATCCAGCATGTATACAATGGTCTGTTAAACTGGAAACCACTTGAATGAAAGTGGTGTGAGCATCGTATGCAGTTATTACACGAATGATAAAGCAGTGGGCAGTGGTAGTGGACAGTGGTGAGCAGAAACGCATCTTCTTCAGCAGGTTCCGTCCTTGGTGTTGTTAGTGAATATTCAGGAAAGATATAAAGAGGAAGCACTGTTGTGTTAGTTCTCCAAGTTCAGCAGCAAAGTATATTTCATTCAGTCTCATGTTCATCCTTAAGTCTTGATAATGATCCATTCAAATCGGTTCTATTGCTCCTTAGGATTTTTTTTTTCCTTCGAATCCTAGCCAGGGTAAAGAAGCGAAGGAAGGGAAAAAAAGGGGTACGCCTTATGGGGAATCTGAGAGGAGTCTGCGAAGCGGAGAAAAGGAGGAAGAAGATATGAAGGGAAAGTTAGCAGAGAAGACAAGACACCTTTCAAGCGCAAACCATGCTGACATTCGTAAAAACCGAAAGTCAAATTCCTTAGAAGTTGACTTATCGGGGCTTCATTTTAGCGACCTGTAAAATATTCAAACCGCACTTAACCCGAGATGCCCCGGCATATCCATAATGCGCTTCTTGATAGAACATTTCCAATTTACACACTGAACCAGAGAACCAGAAATATTAGTCCTGTTGCTTTTACCGGTACGACTTGGCTATTAACCACCTCTGAAGTGACAGTGCAGATCCCCCCCACAGCGGTCCGACATAACCGTGATGAACTTCAAAGACTGAGGCCAAATTGCAGGTTTACCCCATCTGCACCAACCTCCCCAAATGGCCCTGTCACCCTGACCCCCGTTCATCCCAGGACCCCCCATCAACGCCTCATCCTCTCGCCACTCACCCCGAAGATCTTCCCCCATCTGACCCCCACAATTGGCCCTCTCACCCTGACCCCCGTTCATCCCAGGACCCCCCCCCCCCCATCAACGCCTCATCCCTCTCGCCACTCACCCCGAAGATCTCCCCCCATCTGACCCCCACAAGCCCCATCTGACCCCCACGACCTGCCCTGTCACCCTGACCCCGTTCATCCCAGGGACCCCCCCATCAACACCTCATCTCCTCGCCGCTCACCCCGATGATGTCTCGCCGGGGCTGGCGGTGTAAAAGCTGCTGCTGGAGCTCGACTGGAGACCGCGGCGACGGCGGCGGACCGACCCGGCCGCCACCGCCTCCTCCACGATGCCGGGCAGCCCCTCTCGTAGCCGCCGCACGTCCGCCCGAGCCTCGTTCAGGCTGTCCGCCAACGTCCCCAGCTGCTGCACCATCTCGTCGTGACCGCGGGAGAGCTTCGATGTCGCCGACGTGGCGATGTTGACGGCGACGTCGACGACGGTGGCACGGCTGGAGGGCACGAGGTCCTGCGAGGCGCCGCCGGGCGACCCTCGCCTTCGCCGGTATAAAATCCAGACCAGACCGAGGCTGAGGCCTGCCACCGAGGCCCCCAGCAGGGCGCTCAATGCGAGGCTTAATCTTCCCGGCCGCATCGCGCTCTGATCGCTGAGATTGTAATAAGAAGAACGTTAAAGAAATATTAAGTGGACTATACCCAGGTCTCTTCTCAAGCACGCCTATAAACAGGTTTGTATTGTGTTTGTTGGTGTTTAAAGTAGTGATTTTAATGGGTTTAGCGAGTCACAAGTTGCTCGAGTTGCCGATGCCCTCAGCCCAACTCTGCACTGACATTCACCCCCCCACGACCCCCTGGGATCTGTTTTGAAGGTAATAATAATTAATAAGGGGGTGTTTATACAGTAATAAGTTATTTTTCACGACACGATACTTTATCAATGAGTCACTGGCGTGCTAAATTTGTAAAGCTTTTAAAGCATTAAGGTGTAATGTAAGGAATTCAGTGAAAAATATAAACATGGAAGTGAAACGCGATCCAATTATTTGGTCTCTGGCCACCTATTTGTGCAGTTTGACTAGCGGGTTTGTTCACGCATATCGTCTCCGTCGAATTGTTTCGTTTATTAGTTAATAGCTAGTTATTGTGTCGTTTGATTAATGCTATGTTTCATTCATCGTTTTGCTCGCACGTTATTTTGGGCAACTGTACATGGCGATCCGTTTATAGATACCCCACTAAATTGAAATGATTAAAACATTTATCGGTTGCAGAAAAGAACGCACCAGCAATGTTGGGCAAAGTAATATAATCAGTGTTGAACACATTTAACAAGTGTATCGAGATTATATTATTGGTTCTTTCGGTAAAGTCACGTAGAAGGGAAATAATAAAATAATACAAATATAAACAATAAACATTTTATTGAGATTGTTGGAATACATAGCGAGACTTTCACGTTTATTTCAAAGTCCTCTACAATTCCTGTTATGTGTGTGGTACGTCTATAAACGTATCACGGTACTGTATCAAACTTATGGGGGATGGGAAGCGATTAGACTTCCGATGCTCGGCTCACGGCTAACATCAGTGGCGTGGCTCCAACACCTTCACCAACCCGCCTGGTAAAGTATGTTAATTTTGAATTCTTGAAATTAACGTTATAATTATTAACAACACAGACACTGTTTTATAGCATTTGGCGATTCGAATACAGTACTGTACTGCGCTATTTAAAATCGATACTAATCCACGATAATTACTTAAAAGGATGCACAGTTCTGGCAGTACTGCAATGCGTAAACGCCTTGAAGTACTGTAACAGTATACGAATTAATTCACGATATTTACCTTATTATCACTCCCGTGCCTTGTCTAGCAGTGGATACATCTTGGCTACCGATGATCATGACCGTGTTGACTAATCGACAGATGCGTACAGTCGACATAGCGAACGAAATCTCTCTTATCTTGATTATTTTAAAGCACCTTCAACGGTGCTGTTTGTGTCTGGCCGTGTGGGATAAATGTGGGCCCTTTTTTGTGGCGTTAACGGTTTAAATGTCCCAGCTGTTGGCTGCTGATGAATTTGTCAATGGAAACGAAACATTCATGAAACCGTTCGTGTCAAGAGATCGTTCGTGTCAAGAGATCGTGTGTCCTTGTTTTTAAATCCTTTATATTAAGTTCGCTTGCGTGCTTGCTTGCTTACGACCGTGCAAACCTTTCGATCGTTTTTTAACCCACTTCCCGTGATCCAATCGAGCTGACATTTTGCACATAGACTCGTTGTGCGAGACAATTAATGTTCGTGAAATTTTTTTCTCCAAAATTTTACACTGTTTAGGGAAAACAAATTCAATATTTAATTACCAATTGTTTAATACTGCAGACACTCATCTGACCCATAGGTGGCAGCCATCTCAAGCCAGAGGACGAGAGGACTCTAGCCGCCACGCATATAAAGGATTTAGAGTGAAAAACTTGGTTTTTACGGGTTATACTTATTGTATATTCATTGTAGCGAACGCCGGTTCCCAATTTGTTATTTACAATTTGTATTATTTATTTATCTTCTTCTCTTCTCTCTATATATAAAAGGGAAATTTGTGAATGTGTCTGTTCAAAATGTTTAGCGTACTTCCCGACATGCAACAAACTTGAAATTTTCCATGTGGGTACTTTCCAGACTGTAGACCATGCACTAATTATAAAAATACACTTTTGTATATTTTTTGTGGGTGGGGGGGGAGCTCAATAATGCATTTATTTTGCACAGCAAGTGAGCTGTGACGTCACCTCTGTCATTTGACCCGCGTGCGGAAGCGCTGCGCTACGAACCTGGCGACCCGAGTTCGATTCCCGCTCACGGCCACCAACGGTGACGATTATTTGAACCGGTCCTGGGCCTCCCCTAGGTCGACTCGGCCTCAAACGAGCAACTCGTGTGGTGTGTGAACATCGCCACTGGGTAGACAAAGGCGGCCGGGCGTGGTGAATTCAAGTCCCGTAGTAAAGCTAGTACACTTAGTCACATATTCACTTTAAGATGTTTTTTGTTTGTTGCGGTTGCACCCGATTCAAGAGCCGAATGGCTCATAGGTCTATACCTAATAAATGAACTTGAACGAGACAAAGAATCGATTATTTAATTGAATCGCCAATAGGAATTGGATGTAGTGTATTGCAATGCGACGATTCAATATATGTATGCGGTTCGATATTAGGAATCGATTCTATATTTAAATTCGTGCTGCATGTAGCGGCCTCTAGTGGTTGCATACATTTTAACAAAAAACCTCCATAGTTTATGCTAGCTCTTTAAAACCTGTTTATACATTAGTCGTCGATATTAATTAATGTATCGTTTCACACCCTACAAAGTTCACAACAGTTTGCTGTGAGCACACACATGTTTTCAGTTTTCCTAATCACAATATTAACTTTATTACATAAATCAAGCCCCGATTAAGATAACTTCTATTCACGAATAACACATCCCCACCCCCCACCAAAAAAAAAATCACAATATAGTCACTGCTGTAAAATTAATTACTGGAATCAATCCCTGTTGATGATTTAGACCATTTCTCCTGCGCTTATTAAATTAAACACGTGTCTATGTGTGTATTGCAAATCCCGGCAAACGTCAGAATCAAGTGGTATCCGAGCCAGTCCCTCCCTGGGCCTTCCCTCAGCAGCCCGCACATTTACCAGCGTGGTGAAGTACAGCTAAACAATTCCCATTGCTACTATGATGAGCCAAGAATGTCTGTGTGTAACGCGCGTGACGTCACTCCACATGCCGCACCCCCCCCCCCCGTCATTAATATTCATGAGCGGGTGGACTTTTACACTCGCGCAGCAGATAAAAGGTCGAGCGGAAATATTTTTTTCCGCAAATTCGCTTTAAGTTTGACGTTTTTTTTTTATTGAAAGTGAATCAGCAACAAAGTGGATTTGGTGTCTTTATTTATTTCTTCAGCACTTGAGACAAAAGGTAAGTCTAATTTATGCTTCTACATTATGGTAAAATAGACATTTCTCGGTTATTTTCCAGATATTGTATCGATTTCCAATTAATTTCAACTCCAGCGACCGAAAGCAGAAGAGAATCAAGTATCAGAGCAGTGAATTTGAACAAATTCAAGGTAAGTTATATACAGTGTTACAGTGAAATGCAGTGAGGTGTTTTATGACTTAGTTTTGTGCAAGAATCACTGCCATTAATACAGTGCTACAGTGAAATGCAGTGAAGTGTTTGATGACGTACTTTAGTGCAAGATTCACTGCCATTAAATTTACAAAAGATACAATTATACTCTGCTAAATTTTGTCGGTAATATTACAGCTTCCGTCCTAGGACTGGCAAAATGCGAGTATATAATAAACTCCTCTATAACTATCATTATACCGATTTGTTTGTTTGTTTGTTTTACAAATAGTGGCGTAGCTATCGAGTGTGCAGGCGGTACAACTGCACATATGCCTACGGGCTGGAAGAGGGCCAGGGTGCTGTTACAAAGGGGGTGGTGGTGGGAGGGGATGGGACAAGGGGGGTCCCAATTTAATTCCTTGCACCAGGGTCCATGCCAACCACGTTCGATGCCACTGCTTCCAAAGCAGCGTTATCCAGCAGCAACCACCCAAGCAATCAAGGACTTGGGTCAACCGTCCGAGTCTTAGAATTGTAGGCATTAACTTAATTTTATAAACAGCGGAATAAGAGGAGGAATTAAGCAAGGATTTGAACAGGGTAAGTCATACAAACATCGGAGTATAGTTACAACAATGGATATTGCTCCATTGTCCTCTGCTGCCTTATTTGAATGTATGTTGAACTTCTTTTGCACCGCACATAGCCAACCGTGCTAATCATCCTGTACTTTAAACATAATTTTTAAATTGAAAGTGGGTCTCCATTTAATTGTCTTACCTACTCTGATGTTCACTTTGTGCATGAAATTCTAATTTTATATCCGTCAGACGTACCCACCCTTTGTTATTGCAAGACGTACGTGAACTTGTGATAAATCACAAAAGTAGTTTGTGTTCTTATGTAATTACAGAAGGAGTTGTTGCAGCACTAAGGTTCACGCGGATAACACAATGTCGTCGACTTCTCTGAAGCACAAAATGTTCATCATGGAGCCCATGGGGGAGAAATTGATCACGACTTTGCCTGGCATCAACAGACAGAGGGGCACTCAACTGAAGAAAGAAGGATTTGATAAGGTATTGTCTTTGTTAATCATGGTTAGATGGCAGCATTACTCTTTCGTTCTTTCGGTAAAGTCACGTAGGTGAAAGTAAAATAAAATAAATATATAAATGAAAACAACTAAATTAAATCACGACGTTTCGATTGCAACACAAGCAATCATCATTAGGTGTGAAAACTACAGTAATTATTTTTTTCACCTACGTGACTTTACCGAAAGAACCAAAGAGTATGGATCCTTGCAGTCACAAAAATTTCAAATCTAGAATTAGATGGCAGCTGGTTACTCGCACGTTTTTGTGGGATAATGCCGGCTGGGCCTGGTATTTTTTTCTTCCCATCCCACGCCCTTGTGTGCCGTGCCGGAGCATCTTCATAGGTGCCCCTGTGAAAAGCAATCGCCCCATCAGTCTGTGAAAGACTGAGACAGGGGGGAAGGATCATTGTCTTTGCGGGTGTGTTGCATTCACAGGCATTCATGGTTCTGGGACAGTTCCTGCTGCTTCGCAAGAATGAGGAGCTCTTCAAGGAGTGGCTCACGTACATATGTGAGGCCAACAGCCGGCAAGCGTCGCAGTGTTTCAAGTGTCTCATGGATTGGTGCGATGCGTTCCTGTAGCAGGCTTTGTCGTGGGCCACCTGGCTGGTGTTGCCCTCCTAGCCAGACTGTGGGGAGCAATTGGAGTACATTCAATTTAATTTGATCAATCATCATCATTAGCCATAATCAACCCACTGCTGGATGAAGGCCATCCCAAGTCGTCACCATCTGTCGCCTGCACATCAGCTTAATTCATTGCTCCATCTCAGCAGGAGATGCCCTCACGGCTGCGTTCCCACATACATCCCAATATGCTACGCAACCTGCTTCATTGGGGTGATGTTAAGGGAATACTGTGAATGGAAAAATGTTCAAGTAGCTAACTTAATGTGAAAACATTGGCAATTGCGTTTTTTTGCAGAATTTGTTGCACTTGTTTGAACATGAATTCAATAAATGTTAACTCATGGTTCTGCACATCTGTGCATGATGGTGTATTGTATTCTGGCATTCCAATGAAAAAAACGTATGGTACTTTGATACAAGAAAATAATACAAGAGATGTTTTATCATAAAAAAAACATTCCACATCTTCACTCGGATTGCAATATTCGGATGTTCCGGGCTAATACAAGAGATTTATAAATTTCGATTTAAAGCTTTCGTGACTGCAGGCATTCATCTTCTTGGTTCTTTTGGTAAAGTCACGTAGAAAGGAAATAAATAATAAAAATAAAACATAATAAAATACAATTCTCACGACGTTTCGGCCACAACACAAGCAGCCGTCCTGAAGACAGAGCATTGTCTTTCCGATAGCTCTGTTTCTTCACCTGAGGACGGCTGCTTGTGTTGTGGCCGAAACGTCGTGAAAATTGTATTTTATTATGTTTTAATTTTATTTCCCTTCTACGTGTTTTATAATAAAATAGTATTTTATTCTGTTTTATTTTTATTATTTTATTATTTCCCTTCTACGTGACATTACCGAAAGAACCAAGAAGAAGAAGAGATTTATATTTCATCATTAATAATAACTTAGCCAGGCAGTGGTGGCCATGCACGCCTGCATGAACACTCCATTATTGAAAACATCTTAATATATAGAGGATTGCAGCGCTTGTGCAATTGTTTTTAGCTTTGGCGCTCACCATCTCTCTGCCTTCCAACTTGCCTCTAGTTACCGATTGTGACGCTGTATAAAACTCAACAATTGTATTTTAAAATGTCCTTTCCATCGCAAATTATAATCACCTGGGTTTTATATAGCTAAATGTGCACAAAGCCTCAGAGCGCTTTACATAATGCTTAGGTTTTGGAGAAAGCAGGTGAGTTTTTAAGATGCATTTTTAAAAGTGCGACAGACTCCGATTTCCCGAATGGACTGAGGAGGAAGGGATTTCCACAATCCAAACAGCTCCGTCTTCCATAAAACCAAATCTTGTGTTTGGAATAATGAGTAGACCGGAAGCAGAAAATCAAAGTTTTCGTAGATCTGCGAGGTGTTTCGGAGCCAACTCATGCAAGGCTTGAAACGCGAGAAGAAGAATCTTAAGCTCGACTCCGTACTTTTCAGGGAGGCAGTGTATGGTGGAAAGAATATGGACACGCGATTTAGATTTGGTTAAAACCTAGGCAAGCAGAGTTTTGAATACAGTATATTGTAATCTATTTTAAAACATTTCAGAAACGCCATCAAGCAAGGCATTCCAGTAATCCAACCTCGATTAAATAAAGGCATGCACCTGCCTCTCAGCATCCAGACGGGACAGGCTCGGTCTTAGACGAGCTCTATTGCGTCGATGAAAAAACGAGATTTTGGTAATATTACTACATACGTGGGCCTCATGTCAAACTGAAGTCTCGGATAACACCCAAGTTTTTGACCTCAGAGGAAGAACGAATTACAGTCCCCTCTATGGCCATACTAAAACCATACAATTTACGCAATTGACGTAAGAGAGCCCAACAGCATAATCTGTCATAATTTAATTTAATAAAATGTAGGTGCATCCAAGATTGTCAAATTGCAGCCCAGTACACATTTGTCTGCTGTGACATAATTAACTGGAATGCACCTGGTCTTAGAATCTAAGCAATTGTGCGCCTGGATAATACGAAGACGGGCGACTGCCATGCTTTAAACACATTCCTGCGGAGGGAGCTGGTAGGAACGTTGGGTTGCTCGGTCAATGGCCAGGGTCAACGGCGGCGTGGTATATTCCGCAAATATGCCCGACTGTGAGGGCGGACACAAGCCGGCGTGAGTAGGTTAAACGTTGAGTTTTATAAGGGCACCACGGGGTGACCAGCCCCTCTCCACACAGCCCCTCCCCACTCTCCCCACCCAGCCCCTCCCTCCCCACCCAGCCCCTCCCCACCCTCCCCACCCAGCCCCTCCCCACCCTCCCCACCCAGCCCCTCCCCACTCTCCCCACCCAACCCCTCCCCACTCAGCCCCACCCAGCCCCTCCCCACCCTCCCCACCCAGCCCCTCCCCACTCTCCCCACCCAGCCCCTCCCCACCCAGCCCCACCCAGCCCCTCCCCACCCAGCCCCTCCCCACCCTCCCCTCTCCACCCAGCCCCTCCCTCCCCATCCAACCCCTCCCTTCACGACGGACGGACGGACGGACAGACATAATAATCCCCTGTGGGCTGGTGTAACCAGGAGTTTCCTACCAGTAAAACCCCCCCTCCGTTGTCGATTATTGCATGAATAGAACTGATAATTCCGTTCCTAGCCACTGGAGGGCGATGGAGGACTTTCGCCCTCCACGCCAGGATGTGTGTGGGGTTGGATAATAACCACACACACCAGGCCGTCCCGGGTTCTCTTCTTCCCAAGCGCTGCTGTTGCTTTCCGCGACTGACCGGGTACTCGTTTGAATCTCGATGGGGGAGTGTGAATCTATAGAATGTGAACCTACGCTGATGCGAATCCGTAGATCTCACGGTGGAGTTCATGGAGCTCTAGTATACTGTACTTATCTCGGTTATGTTACTAAAGGCTTCACCCTTAGAAGGGGTTTTTATGCAGCAATTTATCATACGCAAACCAAATTCTACAGCTAAAATTACCACTTACATCAAGATAAACAAAGGGGTCTTTGATGGAACATATTGTCTGTGATTCGGGCCATAATTTGATGGGCCCCATCGTGTGGAATTGCGGGGACTTTCACGGTTTGCAGAGACATGCTTTGCAAGCTGACGATGACTGTGCTGATGAGTTTTAATAGCAACGAAACCGGCCCATGGTTGTCTGCCTCTCTCTATCGCTGCTGCTGTCAGCCATGTGTTTCGTCAAGTTTATTTTGTGAGTGTGATCTAAGACGAGAATCACCGCAGTGCAGTTCTTCAGGAACGTGCTGATGGGTTTTGCATAACGCACACAAGGCGGAGTGCTTTACGTACCCGTGTGTGTGTGTTGTTTGTAATCTGTGGGGTTTTTCTCGCATGTACTATCATTTTGTTGTGATGGGGTTTTCCCGTCATTTACAGATTTGATCCACAAGGGGCATGTCCACAGCCCGGATCGAGCAATGCAATCAGCTCGACGGTTTGGGGGAAGGCCTTAAGCCAGGGGTCGGGAACCTTTTTGACTGGGAGAGCCATAAAAGCCAAATATTTCTAAATATATTTCATTGAGAGCCATATAGTATTTTTAACGTATAATAAATTAAATATGTCTTACTTTTAATGCGACTTCTGGTCACGGGACCCGTGACCCGGGAAATTTTATCTTCAAAACTAATTTCTGTTTACTTTAAAATGACACAGTATTATTAAGCAATATCACAAGTATTTTAAAATCAGTTCCAAACTGATTTTATTTTTATTTTTTTATTATTTTTTCAACTCAAATTTGTCTGGGAGCCATATGCCGTCACCGGAAGAGCCATATATGGCTCGCGAGCCATAGGTTCCCGACCGCTGCCTTAAGCAGTGGACAGATCATGGCTCTCGATTGAAAACTCATTCCTTTAGAACTGCTCTTTGTGTTTAGTTGTCCTTCCCCCGCACCTCCGATTAGCACGGTTGGCTACGTACGGTACGAAAGAAGTTCAACGTACTTGGCTGCTGATGGTTATGATATGAAATGCGTACTTATTATTCACCTGGAATTGCAGAAGGACTTGCCATCAAGCATCCTGGAGCTCGACACGTGATGTCATCAAACTCGGAGAAGCACAGAGCCTTCATCTCGGAGCCCATGGGAGATAAACCCGTGACGGATTTACCCGGAATTGGTCCGACACTCGGTTCTCGCCTCCAGAAAGAAGGACTGGACAAGGTACATAGCGGGAGCTGGAAATGAATGGCCTATGGTGAAATCACCCGGAATGGGCCCTATCCTCATGAGATTTTTGGAACGCTAAGCGGAGTTGAGCCTGGATAGTACTTAGGTCAGGGGTCGGCAACCTACGGCTCCGGAGCCGCATGCGGCTCTTTACGGGCTGCTTCTTGACAATATGTACGTATGTACAGTATGTACTCAGATGCATTGCGGCTCTTGAAATACTGAATTTTGTACCGAATTGGAAAGAAATGGCTCTTCTTGTTATTTTGGTTGCCGACCCCTGACTTAGGTGAACACCACGCTAACGCAACACTTGAAGGCTACTGGCTGGGCTATGTGGTGGACAGCAAAAGGTAGTAACACCAACGTCTTGTTACTGTGCAATGCTCCAATGGCTGCCAAGTGCCTTTGCAAACCCCGCACGCACTAAGCCCTCCAGAGCTGCATGCGGCTCTTTAAGGACTGCTGCTTCTAATAGGTTTTTTTCCCCTTTTTTCTGGCAACAAAACTGACATCTTTTGCAAGGAATCATGCTTACATTAACCACAATACTTGCAGTCAAATGCAAACAAAAAACAATACTCTGATAATTTATGCATTGTCTTTGAAACTGATTGGTCCACACCAGAGACAGCTTTCTTTTTGTTGCCAGAAAAAAGGGGAAAAAACCCTATTAGTATATTTTGGTACTGGCAAAGGAGGTCCCATGATGACTGCTGTTTCGTGGCGTTATTTTATTAAGGTCCAGCACCGTCTCGCATTCACCACACAGTGCTTTGCGGCTCTTGAAATATTGACGTTTTGTTCCTGAATTCGAAAAAAATGATTCTTGGTTGCTGACCCATGCACTAGCCGATGCCCTTTATGAAACTGATTCCATGTGTGTGTTTCTAAATGACTGCAGGCATACAAGTTGCTGGGCCAGTACCTACAGATGGGCAAGAAAGAGGAGAGTTTTAAGAAGAAGCTCAAGGACACGTTTGGAGCCGACGACGAGCAGGCGTCTGCGTGCTACGCGTGCCTGAAGGAATGGTCCAACAATCACCTGTAGCCATGTGACCGTGGGGAGGTCACTCAGCTACAGGTGTTTTCTCCTTCAGCCCTGCACGGACACTGGGTTGCATGACGTGCGATCACCTCACTCCAATGGACAACCATCAACTTGAGTTGGCCCGATCTCAACCAGAACTCGAGTCGGTTAACAAGCGGTTGGCGTTTACATGATTTCCGGAGTTCAGAAGTGGATCTGGCATGGTCCAATAATCTAAAGATTTTTTAAATAGGGCTCCCACATTAATAACCAAAAAAAGTCAATGTATATTCCCCGTGAATACCAATTAATGAAATACCAATTTTCGCCCCCTGCCCCTCCACCGTCGATCTGCCACTGTCAGCGCTGTTAAAGTAATGTGAGTGGAGCTGGGTTTCCCCAGGAATTTGTACTTGTGCTCGGCCCAAATTCGGTGGTGAGTGTGACATCTGAATCGATCGCAGTGAGCAGCGTGGTGGTGAAGTATGGTTAATTAACTACCGTTACAGCAGTGAATTGGCAAATTGTGATAAGTTATTATTTTCATACACCGAATGTATTCATATGGAGCGCATAAATTCCACAGCTCAACGATTTTCACTAAATATATATTTTCCAGTATTGCTTGTGGTGTTTTGGAAAAAATAGTACTTGTGAATTAATTTCTCTCGTATTCTCATTCACCGGATGGAATGAGTGATGCAATCAGTGCACGTGCAGGTGCGAGGTGGATTGGCGCATCTCAGGGCTGTGAGACATGGCGGTGATAGACTCCCTTGAGTCCATCTAGCAGTAGATAGAAAATATCTGTTTATGGTAATGATGATGATGTACCACAAGGTGGCGAGCGCTGTTCACAATTAAGAAAAATCGTGTACAGCCACTTGAGGGCGCCAGAGATTAAGGGTGAAGTGAATGGTTTCGAGGTGGCCTGGTCGAGGCATGTGAGACATGATGTGGTTAGGGCAATAAGAATGAGTTTGGTGGAGAGAAACAGACGCAGTAGGTGGACTCAGAACTGCAGTGCCACTCAACCCCATCATGAGCAATTGAATTGAACCAGTGCTTGGGATTCCATAACTTTGTACACGTGCATGAGCAGCCCATGTTGTCAATCAACTGCTGGATTAGGGACTTGCCCACGTCGTGTGGGTCATGGAGGTTATGTGACCACGCTTGGTTCAGTGTGGGTTGGTGCAGGCCGGAAGCAGAGACATGCGAACGAGTTGGTGAAACTGACGGTTGTTGGAGCGTCACGGTCGGGAGATGTTAACGACCTCGCCTCGTATAGAGGTCGTGGGTTCGATTCCGACCTTGACGTCTGTATATTTGGAGTTTGCATGTTCTTCCCTTGGTCGCGTGGATTTTTCTCCGGCTCCTTCGGTTTTTTTCTTTCCACATTTAGAAACATGCGTTAAGAGTAATTTGGCTGCTATTCATTTCCACATGATAAGCCACTTCGTTGAGCTATCATTTGTGGCCAGGTCGTTTCTGAAAAAGAGCTATATAGCTCAGTGGGCCTTACCTGGTACAAATGAAAATAGGAATAGTTTAAATAGTTTTCTGTATGTATGTTTAACTTCTTTCTCACCGTACGTAGCCAACCGTGCTAATCGGGGGGGCATTGCCATCTGCTGTTCACCTTGTAGCCACGCAGCCTTCATTGTGGGAAATAAAAAAAATGTTTGCATCGCTCAAAACGCACGGCAATTGTCGCCAAACCTTGTACATGTTTTCACCTTTGCCTCTCCCCACAGCACATCCCACACACTGTTTACAACCATTTTTGAAACGCCCATAATGCTTTGCGCAAAACAACCAGATGTCACAATCCACATCGCACATTTTCAGCTGCAATCTCCATTTGCTTTTCGATGATGTCGAACCTTGAACAAACGTAATTCAATACAGTACTTTGTTTATAAACACGTGATAGCCCATTTGGCACGAAAATATCTCGTTCAAGTGCAAGTGATTCCATTGCATATGGCACAACACTCAATATAAATAGAATTATCCATACATTCTGATGAAGGACCTTCCCAACAAAGGGTCTTGCAACTCATGAATATTGAACGCCTCCTTTTTACATGGAACTATGTTTTCTCCAGTCTTTTAACCCATTCCACCTGGGTCTGCCCCTTGACCTGCTGGCAAGCCGTAGCCATGCCACGTGTCTGCAAGGTGCACCGAGCTCTGCACAAGGGCAATGTGATGTGAAGGCCATTTAGTGATGAACGGGGACTCATCTTTGTGTCCTGTGCGTTGGCTGTGTTTGCACTGTGTGTTGTGTAGATCTGGGGATATCCCGTTGTTTAAGAAATCGATTGCTCGACAAATGATCGGTTTTGCTTCGGTTCCCACACGTGCCCCGAGAACGGGAGGTGATAATGGGCCGGATTTGGTGATGTCATTGGCATCATTGGGAGAGGTCCAAGACCGATTGAAACATCACTCGCCACTCACTGATGATGACCGTGGCCGCGAATCGAATTCAAGTCGCCAGGTTCATAGCACAATGCGCTAACCACTGCATTGGATTTTCGCTGTACCCCTCATAGAAGAAGAAGAAGGCGTTTTGTTTTGAAAATCTCAATCTCATCTGTTCCCATGTGACCTCGGATAACGCTCCTTATCCTATGGAGTTTATTTAAAAGCGTTTGTCGTAAAACGTAATTTACGTCTTTTGCAAGTCATCACTCACGCAGCCCAGTTGTGTTTGAATAATCAAACCAATTCCAAGTGCGTACGCCGCTTCTCCGCTCTCGACGCTGATCCAGCGGTAGAGATTCCACTTTCTTGTATCGGGGATCGGTCTGTCCAAGCAAGAACCGCTTTTGACTTTTCACAAAGCAAAGAGATACTAATGCAATTTGTGAGAACTGTTTCCAGTGGGGGGAACCCCCCCTACCTACAAAGTGGACGTTATATAATCTGAACTGTATTGTATTGTACACTTTGAGTCTGCGTATTGTGCAAGATGTACATTATCTGTACGCGTGGCTCGTGCGTTCGTGTGGAGCGCACGCACGGGTTAAATCCCCACGTGACCCGTGCGGGTAGCAGCACGGGGTTTGCTCTGCTAGAACCAGAACACATCGCCAGCACGACACGCCAGCATTTCCTCCGGCCCAACGCACAGACACAAGCGCTCAACACCTCATCTGCCCACCAGCCCGACCAGCTGCCCAACGCCAGTTCTATTTGGGGTGAAAAGACCGGGTTGGCAAATTTAGCCGGGGAGTCGAACCTCGATGGCTCTGGCTCGCTGGTCAGGGCTAGGTTGAGGCCAGTTAGCTCCTGGCTCGTGACCAGAGCCACGTACGCACGCGTGAGGGATCTGGTTAAAGCCATTCATGGTAGTATTTGGGTTATTCTACCTCCCATGTATGGAATTGTGGATGCACCCGAGATGCCCTCCTCTCCGTAATGGTCAGAGGTGTTTAGCGTTGCATTGCGTGTCCTGTGCCACTGCGGCAGTGTCCTGTAACTTGCTTGTTTTGTAAAAGTTCTACATATTCCCATGCAAAATAAACAATAAGACTCAACATAAATTGTGTAATTTTCCTGCGTGGGTATTTAATGGTTCGTCGTTGTCCGTTGGGTGTTCGTGTGTGTGTGTACCTCGTGCTCTTCGCATGACATCTGACTCGGAGCTACAGAAGCTCCCACGCACGTCGAGCAAAACGTCGGACATCATGCTGAACAACATGGGGTACAACCCGAACACCCAGTGGAGCGCTATTCACGTACTTATTAATTTAAAGCCCCCATGTCAATGTTAGGAGAAGGCCTAACTCATGTCTTTGGAATCGTGGGTGTTGTTTGACCATCCTTCATCATTGCTGGTCAGGTTACGTTGATCAAGTGAAGCGAGGCACAGGAGACCCACTGATGTTAGCCGTGCCCAGAAATCGAACCACTGCACCACCACTATGCAACATCAGGCATTTATCTGGGAAAGCCACACTGTGACACGATACTTTTTTCTCTCTCTGCAGGGTCCTGCTATATTAGGATGATTCGCGTCGTGTGTTTTGGGAGGAAACCAGAGTCCTGGGACAAAGTCCACCACGCATACAAAGCGATAACACAGGTCCGCACAGATGGGTTCGCAAACTCACGTGCTATCCTGGCCATATCCTGTCCTCCCTGCAGGTCCAGCAGATCTGTGATTCTCACGCACCTCTGCATGATCCGTCAGCCCATGTTGGATCACAGGTTTACACCACCACCACAGCCATGCCTGGATAATTTAGGGGCTTGCACGAACATTGACGTCCGTGTGAGGATGCGTGGTGATGAGATTAGTTCGCTTGTGGGAAGCGACGTGGATTGTGGCAACCCCCCCCCCCCCCCAGGATGTTGAGGGATGGCAACGACACGAAGGAAGCCTTCAACCAGCAGTGGATAGTCCATGGCTCATGATGATGGTGTGTTTAAAAAAAAACGTAACCACAATGAATAATCTCTCGATGCAAGCCAAGGCAATCTACCTGGCCCACGTTAATACAAAACCGGGTGTTTATGTCGACACGGCCCATGTGTTTTTATTGCAGTCATGCGCTTGGAAACTGAGGCAGTGGTAATATTACACTCTTATACGACACGCGCTCAACGCTCGTAATAAACACAGAGCTCTCCCTCCGTAGACTTAACAGACTGTTGGGGCAAGTGCTGTTCGCGAGCACTTTCGAGGAGCGATTGCGTAACGGTGAGTGTGGTGCACTGCAAACCCGACGGCCCGAGATCGCATTCCCGCTCACGGCCATCAAACGGTGACGATTATCTGAAGCGGTCGTGGGCTTCTCCGAGGTCGACTCAGCCACAAATTATTGCTTTGCCACGAGGGAGACAAAGGCGGCCGGGCGCGGTGCTGGACAACAGCCCCCTCGTGTGCTCGCTAACACAACTATACACACACACGTGCCTCGTTTTCCTGCTAAACCTGTTTGAAGACAGGTTAACCAGAAACTGGCATTCATTCAGTCACTCATCCATTCATCCGTTCAATAATTCATCTATGCATTCACCCATGTATGCATGCATTCACCGTTTCACCCACCTATGCTTTAACATACATCATTATACATTCATTTCTGAATTCATATTCTTATTGATCCATTGAATCATATGTCTATCGATTCAATCACGCAACCATTAATTTGTCTATTAATTTGTTCGTGAAATCACATTCTCCGTATATTCCTTCAAACGTATATTAATCGATTCCACAATTTCCTTCATCTATTCATTATTTTATTTGTATATTAAAACATTCAGATATTAATTCAGCAATTCAGCTATTCATATATCCATCCATTCACCGAGTAAAATGTACCATTGATGTATTAATTTATTGATCTATTCCACCAGTAGTCAATCGTTCATATATTCGTCAGTCTATTCATCCGTCCACCTACATGTACGCATTATTTATTCATAATTCATTACTCTACGGTTCACCTCAACCTCGGTAATTAATAACTCAAGGAGCCGTTTAATTAACCTCGGATACACCCAATAATTGTACAGTTGCTTCACTTAATCCACGTGCGAATCTGAGAGTTGTCGAAAACAAAAACAAAAAACACTCCTTATTTTAAATGGAATGGACCAAACCTTTCTCTCATATGGCAGGACCCTTCCGAAAGATCATCGCGAGTGTCAGTGAAGCTTCGTGACACCAGTGAATAAATGGGATCGTTATTAACAGTGTTGCAAAGTGCAAGACTGTATTAACACCCCCCCCCCCCATGGTCTTGCCCCACCAATATCTTGCCACTTTATATTTTTTAAATCCTTTATATTAAGTTCACTTGCTTGCTTGCTTGCGCACTTACGACCGTGCAAATCGTTCGGTCGTTTTTTAACCCACTTCCCGTGATCCAATCGAGCTGACATTTTGCACACAGACTCGTTGTGCGTGAAAATTTATTTTAGTGAAAATTTTTTTCCTAAATTTTCCACTTTTTAGGAATTTTTTTTCATATTTAATTTAAAATACCAATGTGATAAAATGAAACTCTTACTCAAGAAAAACAGAAATGAATAATAAAATAAAACCGATGCCACGCATATAAAGGATTTATAGTGAAAAACTTTGTTTTGACGGGTAATTTTTTCTACGTCAAATTCTCACCCTCGACGTTCACAATGTTTGTTCTCTCTCTGGTCCTCCTCCTGGTGCTCAATCCACGCTGTGTCCCTCTCTCTCTCTCTTATTGCGCCACCTTCACTGGAACAAACATCCCCAACTCCACATTAAGTGGTCACCTTCGCTCACTAAATTTCACTAAAAAAACTCACACTTACTGTTACCCTCAGCTCACCCCACGAGCCCTCAATCTCCCCACCATAACCGCTACTGTCACTTTCCCCCTCTTCACATTCTCATCATACGTCTCTCACTCATTAACCGCCATCCAGTCATTCATTCAATCCGTTCATCGTCATTTTTAAATCCTTTATATTAAGTTCGCTTGCTTGCTTGCGTGCTTGCTTGCTTGCTTACGACCGTGCAAATCTTTCGGTCGTTTTTTTAACCCACTTCCCGTGATCCAATCGAGCTGACATTTTCCACACAGACTCGTTGTGCGAGACAATTAATGTTCGTGAAAAAAAAATCCCAAAATTTTACACTTTTTAGGCAAAAAAAATGTATTTTACATTTATTCAAATAGTACTCATTCATGGCTTTGGCTGAACGTCAGAGTGTAGGAGCCCAGAGCGTGACACCTCCACAGACTGTGGCGGAGTAGCGCAGTTGGTAGCGCCCTCGCTTCCCATGCCAAAAGTCGCGGGATCGATCTCCGCGTCCTCCACAGGCGAATATATTTTTAAATCCTTTATATTAAATTCGCCTGCTTGCTTAGGACCGTGCACATCTTTCGCTCGTTTTTAACCCACTTCCCGTGATCCAATCGAGCTGACATTTTCCACACAGACTCGTTGTGTGTGACAATGAATGTTCGTGAAATTTTTTTTCCAAAATTTTACACTATTTAGGGAAAACAAATTAAATATTTAATTACCAATTGCTTAATACTGGCAGACAATCATCTGACCCATAAGTGGCAGCCATCTCAAGCCAGAGGACGAGAAGACTCTAGCCGCCACGCATATAAAGGATTTATAGTGAAAAACTTTGTTTTTACGGGTTTACTTGTCTGTCATCGATTTCGCTCTCGCCGAATCCACGCATCATCGGACATTCGCCCCCCATTGCTTCCTCTCATCTACTATTCCACTCAGCTCATCTCCACCGTTGCATTCACACGGCGCATCGTCGTACATTCTTTGTAAAGCGCCTTGTTTAAGGCGCTATAGAAACATCCTCTTAACATAAGATACGACGATGGCTATTTCATAGACCACCACCGGTGCGTTGTGACTTTACCCACAGCACAGAGGTCGCAAACGGATTTTGATTCCTTACCCGTACCCGGCCGCACCAGGGTCGCAAACGCCTACCCGTACCCGGCCGGGTACAGGTAGCCGTATCCTACCCGTACCCTACCCAAAATGAGTGACAAACGGTGACTCACCAGTGACTAACGGCCTACCCGTACCCGTACTCGGCCGCACCAGGGTCGCAAACGGGTACCCGTACCCAGCCGGGTACGGGTAGCCGGGTATCGGGTAGGGTACGGGTATCGGGTACCCGATCGCGACCTCTACCACAGCACCAACCTGCCAAATTTCCTTCCACGCTTTCAACAACCGCCGGGAGGTGGCACTGTCTCGCGTCACCCTCCTCGTACATCGCGTGGTGGGAGGTGTGGGAGGGGATGAGGCTTCTCCAAGGAAGGGTCTCCGCTCTCTCGCCACAAGAAGCCAAAACCCGGCGTGAAATGGAATTGGCCCGAAGGTGGCAAGGCCCTCTTGAGAACCGAGTCTTCGGACTCGTCGAGGTCCTTTCATCGGGCGAACAAAGAGCATTGGGCGACGCGCGCGTGATTTTCCGTTGTTGTCACCGCGTGCTCCTTTTGAACAAACGCAAAGAAACCAGTCGGAGTTGCCACGAACCCGCTGCAGAGAGGCACTGCGCGTGCCTCAGCTGAACAGGTAAAGCAAGGTGACCTGACCCCCACCGTGCACAACAGACAAAGACCCCCCGTATAGCCTTATTAGACTGTCAGGGGCAAGTGCTGTTAGCGAGCAGCTATGAAGGCCAGAACGGCACACGAGGGGGTGGGTGGCCAACACCACGCCCGGCCGCCTTTGTATCCCTACTGGCGATGTTTTTACGCACCGCACCAGGTACTCATTTGAGGCTGAGTCGACCTAGGGGAGGCCCACAACCGGTTCAGATAATCGTCACTGGTGTTGGCCGTGAATCGAACCCGGGTGGCCAGGGTCGTAGCGCACCGCGCTAACCGCTACGCCACCGCTCCCCAGCAGCCAGGTGACCTGACCGCCACCGTGCACGTGACCCCTGCACAAGGACGTATAAGTTGTGTCCATTTTATATACCGTATTAGACTTGGTCAATCCACTGCCTTGTCAGTTATGGGGTTGTTGTTTTT